CTTGGCCGCTGCGACGGCGTCCTTCTCGCCAGAGATGATGATCTCATCCTTCTGCACTTGCTGGGGAGGCACATTGATCTTGGCGCCCGTCTCCTCCTGCAGCTTGTTGAGGTTCTCGCTGTAGGGGCCCACGATGAAGGGGTGGTAGATCTTGGGCACCGTGGTGCGGTCCGCAAACTTCTTGTACTGCTCGGCGGACAGCTGGCGGATCTCCTGCTCGGCCTGAGCGATACCCTCCTTGGTGCCGGCAATAGTGATGAACTCGCTCTCGTCGCCCTGGCTGGGGATGTTGATGCGCGTGGAAGTGGAGCGCTCGAGTTCGCGCAGCCGTTGGCCACCCTTGCCGAGGATGACACGGTAGTGCTCTCGCGGAACGGTCACCTGCCGGCTGGCCTGCGTCGAGAAGCCCATCAGGATCTTGCGGCGGGCGTCGAGCAGCTCGCTTTGCTTGCCCTTGATCAGGAAGGTCAGCGACTGGTTCTTGCCGCTCACAATCTCGATTTGGGCGCCCGTCTCCTTGGTGATCTGCTGGCAAATCCGCTTCGACTCGCCCTCGCCGAACTTCTCAGACTCCGTGGACTTGCGCTCCTCGCAGGGGACATGCAAAACCTGTGAAGAAAAGGCGTTGATAAAAAAAAGGAGGTTAGTATTTGATATAGTTTTTAATAATCAAAATTAATGACACTACAGTTTTATATTAGTAAAAATAAATTTCTTATTTTAAGTTTCTTTTTAGGTGATGATGTGTCTCTAAAAGTTTGGATCTATTAAGATTTTACTATCACACTTAGTTTATAAACAATCTTACCTGCGTCTTCTGGGAGCTCGTCACACGGGCTAACGTCGAGCTGGAAGCTCCGGATTGCGACGGCGCCGAGGTGTTTGCCGGCAGAGCCGGGAACAGGTCGTCGTAGCTGAAGGCGGGGGTGGCATTGCCAGTGCCGCCGCTAGTGGTGCTAGTGGGCGTAGCCACCGAAGTGGGCGAGGATGGTTGCTGCTCGTTGGACACCTGCTCTTGGCCATTGATGAGGGCGATGGGTTGCTGCTCGATGGTAGTTGCTACAAAATGATTTTTGGATTAGAACTTGCCATATTACAGATCTAAATTTAAAACTCACCGTTGTTAGATTCCTCCATCACTGCTGCTGCTGCTGCTTGCATTACTTAAAAAAAGAGAAGAGTCCTTTTTCGTTCCAAGTCGTTTACAGTACACTGAAAGTATGAGAATAGAGATATCTTATCAAGTAGTGCTCAAAACTATTACACCATAGGGGACCTATAAAAAAAACCATGTTTATCAGCTGCCGATAAAGCCAGTGATTAGTCACAAAGTTTCTGCGGAGATTATCGGAATGTCCGTCGATCAATCAGTTAGGAATTGGTTAAATGGGGCATTATTTCGGCAAACATGGATTTCATACAGCCTTTGTTTAGCTTCATTTTACATCTCTTCCTGTTGTCAGTCGCCCACAGCCTTACCAAAACTCACTACGGGTTGATAAGTGCGACCCCTGAAGACCCGCATGTAGCTGCCACCCGCTGATAAGGAACTACAGACGTACATAAATACAGACTGCTCGGCTACAGTCGGCATATTAGAGCTAAGATAATTCATTGGGTATGCGGCGTGACCTCAGTAACTTTAGGCACTACTAAAAAATAAGGTGCCTTTGCATTTGAATTGGTATATTTATGCTAATCACATGTTTTTTTTTATTCACATCGAGACTCAAAAATTAATAAACTAAATTATTATATGTTAAAAAATTATAATTTATAGATTATTGATTAGCTTTAACATCGATTTCAATATATTAAAAAAAATCAAATCTATCAAGTCCAATTGGTTCATAAATAATTCATCAAAAGCACTTATTAGCAGATGAACATGAAATTTCTTATGGCTTTGTTGCTGGAAAGCAGATCCAATTTGGAAGACCTAATTTTGTGGGCCTCCACTGTTAACAGTGCGTGTCCAAAGGGGGTGCGTCTAATGGATTTTCTGGCGCTGATAAACCGAAATAGATTTGGTTTCTAGACGGACTTTCTGCGCCAGAACACGAAACTAAGGCCACGTAGTGTATGGATCGGCGAGATGAGTGCCCGGCTCCGCATTTCGCTGGTGATAAGTGGGCCACGCAGGCAGATTCTGGAGCCGAGTGATAGCTATCGGCCGAACTAACTGATAAGCACATTCGTCCGATCACCACCAAGAGATCGGACTACGCACATACACGGTGGCAATAAATGCAGGTCCAGAAATAAGCTGCTATCAGCCAGATTTCGATTGGGTGAAAGGTTGGGTACGAGCGAAAAATAGAGAGATCTTAATGGAGAAAAGAAGGAGAGGGAGACCATGCACTTGTTCGACCAAAGCTGTTTTCTAAATCAATGCCCAACGAGTTTCGTAGCCTACATTTTCATCTCCACCGAAAGAACAACAAATGTATGGTTGTCTCTATAGCCAGTATCTTTGTATAGATGTGTGTGTGTGCTCAGAGGCGGTAGCAAGATTTTTATCAAGAGGGATTTATAACTTTAAATTGACACTATTGTAAAACATTTTTTGAGCTGGTACTGCTTATTAGGTCACTTTTTATTTTAAGAAATATTTAAAAATTATTAACTTATCACATATTATTTTCGTCCCTAGATAATAATGGTTGTTTTACTATTTTTTAAATGCCCCTAAAGACCTAATTTTGTACAATGGTTTGAGTTATTATTGGTATAAACTGTTTTAAAAAATAACAAATCTAAGTAATACAAATATGTGGATTTCTGGTATCTGGAACTATTCGGGGAGGAGTTTAACCCCCATTGCTGACGCCCCTGTAGGTGTGCATGAAAAATGTGTCAAAAGAAGAGACCAGAGCGGAAGAGTGGCAAGGAGAGAGCGAGCGCTTGACGAAGTAACTTAACGGAGCAGGGGAGCAGCTCCATATAAAACCGGATGATAGCCGGCAACTACAACAAAACGATCGAGTGCTATAGTATATGTATATGTGTGTGTGCCTGCACATTTCTGTGTCGCTCTTTTTCTTCGGGCGTACGTTTGTATGTGTGTTGGCACCTTTCGAGAAGGCACAGGTAAAAAAACGAAAACAAGCAACATACCTACATAGCAAATACCATCGCACGTACAGATGTACGTTCGTATCTGACGCCTGCAGCGACGCTGACGTCGACAAATGAAGACAAAGCACAAAAACAATGCGCTAAAGTTCAGCTTAAAAAAAAATTGGTATGCACATATCGGATGGATTCTTGTTTTTGTAATTTCGATAAAAAGATCAAAAAAAAAATAAAGAAAAGATTGACGTAGTCAGCTTTCAACATTGAACCGCTAACTTGGGCGTATTTTTCCCATTTTTGGCAAAACACTTGTGTAAAATGTTAAACTATGCAAATTAAGCCTAGGCGAAGGTTGTTCAACTTACGGTACTGTAAAATCCAAAAAATCCGGCCTAGTTTACTCTCCTTTGACCAAATCCAGTTTGATAACTTGGGTGTCTGCTGGAAAAGCCGAAAAACAATTGGTTGGAATTAATGCAATTAGCGGATGCAGATCGTAGGATGCCCTACGCTGCATTTCGTCGGTTATTCTGCATTCTGCACATCCCCAATAGAAAGTCTGTTATTTTTTTTTTAGTTCATAGAGATGGGAAGGGTGAAGAGAGGGCAACATATGCGGGCCACTTATTGGACAATTGTTTTTGTGGCAGCGGCAAAGTGGAGCAACGCGTGGGCGTGTGTGTGTGTGTGACTGTGTGCCAGTATGGAAATGCGGAAATCAGTGCCGTATGTTTGCTAGGTGAAAGGTTATGTGGATCCTCTTTTCCGGCACAGGGCGGGGCCTTCACTCCGCGCCCCTAGGAAATTGGGAGTTAAAAAAAACAGCACGCGCGCCTTCCAATCGGACAAATATGCTTATATATGCACGCATACATATCCACGGGATTTTAAGGCCCCTTTATGTGTGCGTGGACGAAGTCGCCGCCTTTTGCGGGTGTGTGCGTGAGCGCGAGTGCGCCGCCCGTGTGTATTATCAACCATTAAAAAACACGTTGTTTTTCACCGAGCGCACACAAATTTAAGGAAAATTAGCGGCCCGAATTTTCTTTCTTTTTTTGCAGCAGTTGCTACTGCTTCTTCTTCTCAGTCTTGCTCTGCCGTCGCCGCCCGGCCCTTTATAACTGTAAATCCGTGTGCACTCTCTTTCGCTCGCCGTAACTTATGCAATTCCGGGCATATTAACACCGCCGCACGGATCACCGGCCATCGGCAGTTGCTTTTTGCACTGGAATTTGTTAAATCTACACCTAGACTTTCTATTGGATGGCAGAACGCACGAACGCGGATCTCAACGTTACCGACTCCAAGTAAAATGTGAATGAACATGAGCGAACGTGGCAAATAGAGATGGGCGATAGGCGGCAGCGGGCGCAGGGTTGTCGCCCTTTGCCAGGCACAGGCGAGCTGTCAAACGAACTATCGGTGGTTGGACGCAATACGGTTGCCGGCTTTTGGGGATAAACAAAATGTTCTAAATTGTTGTAAAAAAATGTTCTGCAAAACCTACGAGAAAAAAAATGTAATTCCAGTAACATGTATTACAGGCAAATAAAAAATATATTCTGTAAGCTATATAGAAAATAATTGACAATTTACGGGTTAAATTTAAAATTACAAATAAAACAATATAGATGAAAACCCACTTTTCAAAGAAGCAATGCTAATCCTTAATATTTAACTTTTATAAAATGTTAGATAATTATTAGAGCTCAAAAACTTAGAACACATATTTTCGCTCAGGATTAAGTCGAGTTTTGCATACAGTTAGTTATTAATGTTAATGAAATCCACTAAAATTTAAAAATGTGATATAACCCGTTGTAAAATGATAATATTTGTTATGATAACAAAAAAATATTCGATTAATTAAACGCTCATCAGCAACTGCCGTTTACAGCTATCGATAGTCAGTGTCATCCTTGGCTTGTCACCACCAATTCTCAAAGAATCACAAAGGCAGAAAACTCCCCAATCTGTGGAATTTCCGGAGGAGAGAGCACTTCCATCGCGACGAGTTATCAGCGAACATCATGTCTAAGCTCAGGAATCTGTTGCCCACAATCTTTGGCGGCAAGGAGGCGCAACATCCGCCCGAGGGACACCTGGAAAAGGATGCAGCGCCTGTGGACGACAGCGAGACAGATAACAACAACAGCGGAGCCCTGGCGCTGCCCTCCTCCATTGGCACGCCCACCGCCTCGGCGGATCTTACTGAATCCGTGCTGCGCGAGCTGAGTGATCCCAACTACAACTCCATGGACGTGGTTCAGTCCGCCAATATCCCGGGCACCGTGAGCAATGCCCAGACGAACAATACCATGAACGTCCACAGCGCCCAGCAACAGGTGGTCATGAATTTCTCGAATGCCAGCAACCTGCATTTTGGCTCTGTCTACAACATCAACCAGAACCTCAGCGCCAGCAGTTCGCGCAAGGGCAGCACCAGTGCCACCGAGGAGGCGGCCGCCCAGCCGGAGGGCAAGCAGCGGTCCAATCCCGCTCGCAAAACAGTCAGCATTGTGACCATGATGCAGTCTCAGGAGGAACCGGATGTACGTCTCCTAGATGTGGTCTCCACCCACTTGGGCGAGGGCTGGAAGCAGGTGATGCGGGACCTGGGTCAGTCGGAGGGTCAGATCGATCAGGCCATAATCGACCATCAAATGCATGGCAATATAAGAGAGGTGAGTTTGGTCAAATAATGGCGAACTTTTCTGATTTAAAATTGATCTAATTGAACTCTAATCATATCGTATTTAGAAATGCAATTCTTCTGAAATCCGTCTATTCTTAGAGTCGTAAAAATCCATCAACAATTCGCCAAAAAATAGACGAAACTTAAAATCTTGTATTACAAGTAATACTAAACTGAGCTGACTTAAGTGTATGTCAAGATTTATGTGACGCATTAGTTTAATTTGAATATCTAGCTCTTATGACTCAAATCCTACTATCACCGTCAATTCTCTTTGTTTGGAAATTATAAAGCGAGGGTTCTAATATTCTGATAAAATCTTAAAGTGAAATTAAAACTAAAGAAATTTAAAATTTTTATTTTAAATTTGCTTACATTATTGACAGTTGTTCTTTTATATAATACTTACTTTTATAACAATACTCTTATCCTAAGTTTGCTTCCATTTAATATATGATTACTTGAATTGATGCGATTAGATTGCAGGTTAAAAGATACGAATATTACATTTACGTTTTACTTTGAAAAACTTTGGTAAATGTATAAGAGGATTTTGGTGATATACTAAAGTCATATTTTTTGGATATTCATTTGGAAAAAAGATTTGTTCTCACATCTACCAACAACCCGCCATTTAAATTTCCTAACTAAAACCAGTAAACTAACGCTCTCTTTACTTCTCCAGGTGATTTACCAGCTGCTGCTTCAGTGGGTTCGCAGCTCGGAGAACGGTGTGGCCACCGTCGGTCGACTCACCACGCTGCTATGGGAGTCGCAGCATCGGGACTGCGTGCAGCGCATGAAACTGGTTTGGAAGGCACTGGAGAAACGCAAGACAAACAGCTAGCCGATAAATGGGATTCAAGAACAACGATGCCAGAACGAAAACGATGCATTCGGTTGTACAAGCCTGTGGGAGGATAGAGACGGGAATGGTTTCTTTACCCGACGTTTGCTAGATTCAAAGACCTCCGCCGGACGACATCCAGCAATGAAGAGAGGAGACTATCCGACGATATACATATGTGCAATATTTGTTTTATTAATCCAAGCCTTCGAATAAGTGCCTAAATGTTTGCATTAACTATTCTTACACCAGTTTTATCTTTAAGATGTGATATTTGTGTCGAAAAGGGAACCAGCACTTGGAGTTTGCATTTCAAAGTATTTTTGTAAAATGTATAGAAATAGAAGCTTTATTGTTACGTAACCGGAGGCAATCTCATTTCTAACCTTTAAGGTAGAGTACAAAGTCACACAATCTTCGTGATCTTTGAGCTAAACATGTCAATTAACATCTGTGCGCCGTTGCCGTTAAGCGACTGATAGTTTGGCTGACTGGTCATCCTGTCCAGCCATCCGCTCAACTTGGGATAGCGCTTGGAATCGATAGGGGCCAAACCCACCAGGCTGGAAACCGAAGACACCATACTGTAGTCGGCGATGGTTAATCCCGGTCCGCAGAGGAACGGCTGATTGGCGATGAACGACTCCAGGAAGTCGTAGGCCTCGTAGATGGCATCTATCTTGGAGCGCGGAACCTCCGTCTCGTTTTTGTAAAACAAAGGTGCGGCAATATTCCGGATGCAGCCTTGGAACAGCACGCCCGACTCAAAGTGCAGGCGTTGGTCGACAAGGGCCCGCTTGAAGTAATCCTTTGGATACAAGGCATCATCCTTGGCATAACGCCTCACTAAATACGCACAAATGGCATGGCTATCCCAGATGATCTGGCCATCGTCCTCCAAAGCGGGCACCGTTTGCTGCGGATTCTTCAGAGAGTATTCCTTGCCCTTATGCTCCCCAGCCAGGAGGTTCACCAGCTTATACTCATACTGCAGACCCAGGGCGCCCAGGGTCAGTTTGCAAGCTCGCACCGGCGGACTGGGCTCTACACCATATAGTACTAATTTTCCCATCGCTTTTAGGTGACCGCTCGCTTCGGGTGTCGATTCAAAACTAAACAAGCTTCGTCTATCGCTACTTACGATCAAGCAACAAACGATTCAATTAATTCTATATATTACTACACCTTACTTAGCAATAGAATGCTTGTCATGTTAAGCGACGTAATTGAGATTTTGCCTGACTGGCATAATAATTATTCGAAAAGAGTGTGTTTTTTTTACAGATATGCTTTTCAGAAAGATCCGTCTCTATTTTCATCCAAGACAACTGATAGGGATTGATTAGGCATTATTTTCCCTCGATTGTATTGTGTGGCCCTCAAGAAGTTGTCTGTCGGTTTTGTTTGTACACATGCCTTATCTTAACTCTTTATTTTATTTGTAGTCAAAGTGTAATGGAAAATTCTTGAAACTGACTTATTGAGTGTGGTGAAATTGGTAGGCTTGATATACTTTTAATCTTTTTAAACAAACTTGGCGATATCTAAACTGTTTGCGAAAAAAAAGCTTTCAACGGCAAAAAAGTATTTAAAATTGAAACGGAATAATACATATTCAGATTGAAAAGATTTCTGGAGCTTGAACAGATAGAACTTTAAAAACAAATCAAAATAAGAAATTTAACTAAGTTATTGGTATGTACATAAATGTGGCTTACATTTACTTGACAAAAACATATTTTATTTATAATATAATATGTTTTATTTGCTGGGCATTCTTTCCAGAGAAGTTATCTTTCGACAGGGTTGTAACACTAAACATCTAGACTTGGTCTGGATACTTATTCTTTTGAAAAGTTGTGAAAAGTTTCTGTCTTTTTAGGAGCAGTGATAATACTGGTGATAATTATCTTGGGTTATCTTTTTTGTCCTTTTTTTCTAAAATCAGTTTATTTCACCATAGTAACTAAAAAAAAAATTGTTTAGAAGGGATTCAAGGAAAACAATGCCAGGCCAAAAACGATGCATTCGGATGTCCTTTGGGAGGATAGAAAAAGGCATCGTTAATTTAATCGACGTTTGCTAGATGCAAAGACCTCCGTCGGACGACATCGAGCAATGAAGAGAAGAAACTATCCGAGATATATGTGCAATATATATTTTTATTAACCCAACCCTTCAAATATGTGCCTAGATGTTTGCAATGACCATTCTTACCCCCGTTTTGTCTTTAAGATGTGATATGATAAGATGTGTCGAAAAGGGATCCAGAACTTGGACTTTATTGTTACTTAATCGGAGGCAATCTCATTTCTAACCCTTAAGGTAGAGTACAAAGTCACACAATCTTCGTGATCTTTGAGCTTAAAATGTCAATTATCATCTGTGCGCCGTTGCCGTTGAGCGACTGATAGTTTGGCTGACTGGTCATCCTGTCTAGCCATCCGCTCAACTTGGGATAGCGCTTGGAATCGATAGGGGCCAAACCCACCAGGCTGGACACCGAAGAGACCATACTGTAGTCGGCGATGGTTATTCCCGATCCGCAGAGGAACGGCTGATTGGCGATGAACGTCTCCAGGAAGTCGTAGGCCTCGTAGATGGCATCGATCTTGGAGCGCGGAACCTCCGTCTCGTTTTTGTTAAGCAAAGGTGCGGCTATATTCCTGATGCAGCCCTGGAACAGCACGCCCGACTCAAAGTGAAGGCGTTGGTCCACAAGAGCCCGCTTGAAGTAATCCTTTGGATACAAGGCATCATCCTTCGCATAACGCCTCACTAAATACGCACAAATGGCATGGCTATCCCAGATGATCTGGCCATCGTCCTCTAAAGCGGGCACCGTTTGCTGCGGATTCTTCAGCGAGTATTCCTTGCTCTTATGGTCCCCAGTCAGGAGGTTCACCAGCTTATACTCATACTGCAGACCCAGGGCGTCCAGGGTCAGTTTGCAAGCTCGCACCGGCGGACTGGGCTCTGCACCATATAGCACTAATTTTCCCATCGCTTGTGACCGCTTGCTTCGGATGTCGATTCAAAACTAAATAAGCTTCGCCTATCGCTGTGTACGAACAAGTTAATGAATTGCATATATTACATCACGTTCCTTAGCCATATAATGTTTTTCAAGTCATGCTAAAGACCTGTCTCTATTTTCAGCCAAGACAACTGATAGGGATTGATAAGGCATTCTTTTCCATCGATTGTTTTGTGTGGCCCTTAAAAAGTTGTCGTTTTTGTTTGTACCAGAAGCCTTATCTAAACTCTTTATTTTATTTGCGTCCAAAATATTATATGATGGAAAATTCTGGAAACTGCCTTATTAAGTGTGGTGAAATTGGTGGGCTTGATATACTTTTAATCTTTTTAAACAAACTTTGAGATTTTGCGATATCTAAATTATTTACGATTAAAAGCTTTTTAACGTCTAGAAAAGTATTTACAATTGCAACAGAATAATACATATTTAGGTTAAAAAGATTTCTGGAGCTTGAACAGATAGAGCTTTAAGGGGTTATCCGGGTCTTGACACTTCAAAAAATTAATTTTTTTCAAACTTTTTTATATAATAGTACAAAGTTTCAGGAATGTTGTCTGAAAATTTCAAGTCGATCGAAGCAAAACTGTAGGAATGGGAGAAATTTAAAGCCCAGCGCGTCGGACGTCACAACGGGCCAGATGCGGCACTTTAAACGCGTTTTTCTCAAAACCACTTTTTTGAAGTCGGTAGTCACGATTTCTCAAAAACTATTGCACCGATCAACTTCTGCTTTTGCACACTTCTTTTAGACATAATTCTCTTGTCCTTAACGGAGGGATTTTTTAAATTTTTAATTACAACTCATTTTATAAGCCAAAATATGGCCAAAATTTACGTACAAAATGACACTTTTTATGAAAAGCGCTACAAAAAATTCAATTTTTAATTTTTAAAAAAAATGGCTCGTAGAGGACAAGCGAGACACATACACTATCAAAATAATTTTGGTTTTTTGATTTCAGACAAAAATTGGAGGAGATATTTTGCCTACCGCAAGGACACAATTTTTTATGAGGTCAAGTTCAAGCCTGCCTCAACGGCTCAATTTTAAAAATATTTGATTCAAATTTTTACACAATGTTGGTCAAACCATAAACATTAATGTACAATAAATGAAATTTGTGAAATTGTCATAAGATCTTGAAAAAAAATTCACGAAAATAGGATTTTTTTCGTGCTCCAAGACCCGGATAACCCCTTAAGAACTCATCGAAATAGGAAATTTTACTAAGTTATTGGTACATAAATGTTGTTTACATTTATTTGACAAAAACATATTTTATTTATAATATAATATCTAATATCTACATATATAAGAAGTTATCTTTCGCCAGGGTTGTAACACTGAATATCTAGACTTGATCTGGATACTTATTCTTTTGGAAGGATTTGAAAAGTTTCTGTCTTTTTAGGAGCAGAGATAATACAGGTGACAATTAGCTTGGGTTATCTTTTATTGTCTTTTTTTCCAAAGTCAGTTTATTTATTTTATTAGTTTAGAAGGCACTGGAAACTAGACTATAAATTCAAGATTCAAGAAAAACAAAACTTCGAATAAGTGCCTAGATGTTTGCAATAACTATTCTTAATCATTAAGATTTTATATGATAGATGTGTCGAAAAGGGATCCAGCACTTGGACTTTATTGTTACTTAATCGGAGGCAATCTCATTTCTAACCTATAAGCTAGAGTGCAAAGTCACCCAATCTTCGTGATCCTTGAGTTAAACATGTCAATTAACTTCTGTGCGCCGTCGCCGTTCAGCGAGTGATAGTTTGGCAGACTGCTCATCCTCTCCAGCCATCCGCTCAACTTGGGATAGCGCTTGGAATCGATAGGGGCCAAACCCACCAGGCTGGACACCGAAGAGACCATACTGTAGTCGGCGATGGTAATTCCCGATCCGCAGAGGTACGGCTGATTGCCGATGAACGACTCCAGGAAGTCGTAGGCTTCGAAGATCTCATCGATCTTGGAGCGCGGAATTTCCGTCTCGTTTTTGTAAACCAACGGTGCGGCAAAACTCCGGATGCAGCCCTGGAATAGAACGCCCGACTCAAAGTGAAGGCGTTGGTCGACAAGAGCCCGCTTGAAGTAATCCTTTGGATACAAGGCATCATCCTTGGCATAACGCCTCACTAAATACGCACAAATGGCATGGCTCTCCCAGATGAACTTGCCATCGTCCTCCAAAGTGGGCACCGAGCGCTGCGGATTCTTCAGAAAATATTCCTTGGTCCTCTGCTCCCCGGCTACGATGTCCACCAGTTTATACTCATATTTCAGACCCAGGGCGGCCAGGGTCAGTTTGCAAGCCCGCACTGGCGGACAGGTCTCTACACCATATAGCACTAATTTTGACATCGTTTTCGGGTGACCGCTCGCTTCGAGAGTCGATTCAAAACTAAACAAGCTTCGCCTATCGCTGTGTACGACCAAGCCACTAACGAGTTAATTAATTCCATATATTACTTCACCTTCCTTAGCTGTAGAATGTTTTTCAAGTCATGCTAAAGACCAGCCAAGACAACTGATAGGGATTGATAAGGCATTCTTTCTCACCGATTGCTTTGAAAATGTTTGTCCGGTGTTTTAGTTTCTGTTACTTAGCTAATGTGTAGAAATTGTAATGTTTTATAGATTTTAAATTTGTTCATTCAAACCTTCACATTTAGTTGAATTTTTGAGAATTGATAAAGCAGGTAGGATTTAATATTTTGAAAATAAATTACTAAACAATAAGATACTAATCCTAAACCATCTCATCCCAATATCTAAAATATTTTCGGATAAAAAGCTTTCAACGGCTAAAAGGTATTTCATGGACAGCTAGAACTTAAAAAATGTAACTAAGGCATTGGTACATAACTGTTGTTTACATTTACTTTATTTATTGTTACAAAAAAAGTGTTTCAATAATGTTAAAAGGAATACTAAGATGAGAAAGAAAAATTGAATTTTGTAAGAATTGTGACCAATTCTCGGGCCCCCTTGCCATTGGCATCTTCAAAGAAAGACAGCTTTTCTAGCTTCTTGATCCAGGCAGTAATTTTGGAATATTTAACCGGATCGATATCCACAAATACTGCCAGAGCTGTGATTGATGTGATGAGGCTAAAGTCCGCAATTGTTAGCTGACCTCCAGAAACATAATCATGTCCAGTGAGAAAAGTCTCCACGAAGTCGTAGATCTCGATGACGGCATCGTAACGCTCCTTGGGAATCGTACTCAGACCGGAGGCGAAAAGTGGCTTGGTGATGCTTCTCAGTCCGCCAACGAAGACCACACCGGATTCAAAGTGCAGTCGCTGGTCCACCACAGCTCGCTGGAGAAGATCCTTCGGATAGAGACTGTCACTCTTCCCGTACTTGGACACCAGATAGGCACATATTGCATGTGAGTCCCAGATGAAGTGCCCATCGTCCTCCAATGTGGGCACCGTGTGCTGGGGATTCTTCTTCAGAAACTCCGGGGAAAGGGTCTCCTTTGCCAATGTATTTATTTTCACGTAATCGTAGGGGACATCAAGGGCGGCCAAGGTCAATTTAACAGCCCGAACAGGAGGACTCGCCTCCGTACCATACAAAATCAACTTGGACATTTTGTCTCCTTGAATCTTCCACTATAACTGAACGTTGAGGGCAAACAGCCAGTATATTTATTGGTATTTATAGAGAATACTTAAGAGACGAATTTAAAGAGAGGTAGATAATAAGCAGGTTCATTCTAGTTGCTCTCTTGCTTTTTTGATTTTCTTTTCTATAATAAATACTAATAGAAAACTTTTAAAAAGGGTTACTAATAAATAAGAGCAAACATAAAATACTCGGCCGAAGGACTCCAGTTTCCAGTGCCATTTTCTTTCCATTAATTCTAGTATTGTATACTAGTCTTAATTTGACAAAAAAAAAAAAAATAAGCAGGTTCATTCTAGTTGCTCTCTTGCTTTTTTGATTTTCTTTTCTATAATAAATACTAATAGAAAACTTTTAAAAAGGGTTACTAATAAATAAGAGCAAACATAAAATACTCGGCCGAAGGACTCCAGTTTCCAGTGCCATTTTCTTTCCATTAATTCTAGTATTGTATACTAGTCTTAATTTGACAAAAAAAAAAAAAAAAAAAAAATACATATGGATTCAATTTAATATATATTATTTAAAATTTATTATTTTGTTCTTGTTTAACTATAAATATAATAAATTATATAATTTATTTAGTTGCAAAGGTAAAGTTAGTCTTCTTGATAAAGGTCGCGAATGTAAGGGCTCCATTGCCGTTGGCCTCCTGGTAGTAAGGAAGCTGTTTCAATCGCTCGATCCAGGCAGTGACCTTGGGGTATTTCGCCGCATCCACCTCCACGAAGGCCTGCAGGGAGGTCACGGTCGAAATAATACTAAAATCGGCAATAGTCAGTTGACTACCGGCAATGTAATCGTTTCCGGCGAGGAAGGTCTCCAGGAAATCGTAGATCTCAATGATGGCATCGTATCGCTCCTTGGGTATAGTTGTCAGGCCGGAGGCGAAAAGTGGCTTAGTGATGCTCCTCAGTCCGTTGGCAAATACCACTCCAGACTCAAAGTGCAATCGCTGGTCCACCACAGCTCGCTGGAGCAGATCCTTAGGATAGAGACTGTCATTCTTTCCGTATTTGGACACCAGATAGGCACTGATGGCATGAGAGTCCCAGATAAAATGGCCATCATCTTCCAATGTGGGCACCGTGTGCTGGGGATTCTTCTTTAGGAAGTTCTCCGATAAGTTCTCCTTCGCCAGGGTATTCACTTCCACAAATTCGTAGGGCACTTCCAGGGCGGCCAGAGTCAATTTGGCGGTACGAACTGGCGGACTCGCCTCCAAACCGTACAGAATTAACTTGGACATCTTGACTCGGTGAAATAGGTTTCAGCACTGACGATCGAGACCAAAACATATTAAATTTATATACTTTTGGAAGAGATAGGACTTGATAAAGAGAACGTTTTTAGGGAGAGCGGACAATAAAACAGCTGGTCAAACTAGCTTTGGTTCTCTTTTGTTGATATATTCCAAAATTAATTTATTTCACCAATTTAAATACTGATTGACCACTTGAAAAGTAAATATTAAAGAACATTCCATTAGTTGTCTTTACCAAATTATCTCCTTCTGAAATCCATATTTCTATTAATAATAAAAAATCCTTTGTAAAAATAAACAAATTTTAAATTTTGAATTAAAGTATTAACTCAAGTGTTTTTCCAATAAAATGTTTTAAATGTATTTTTGTTATATTCATAATTTGCAATATAAAATCAAGAGTCAAATAAGTGCTACACTTATTTACAATTTTTAAAATTTCATGTACTCCATGAAAAATTGGTCTTCTTGAAGATGGCCACCAACTGTCGGACTCCCTTGCCGTTGGCTTCTTCGTAGTATGGCAGCTGTTCCAGCCTTTTAATCCAGGCACTGATCCTGGGATACTTGACAGGATCCAATGGGACGAAAGCCTCGAGAGATGTCACGGATGAGATGAGGCTGAAATCAGCAATGGTCAATTGATTTCCAGCGATGTAATCCTGTCCCTTGAGGAAGGTCTCCACAAAGTCCAAGATGTCGATAATGGCATCATATCGCTCCTTGGGAACTTTGGTCTCGCCCAAGAAGAGTACGGACTTGCTAATTCTTCTGATTCCATCGGCAAAGACAACTCCGGATTCAAAGTGTAGCCGCTGATCCACCACAGCCCGCTGGAGGAGATCTTTCGGGTACAGGGAATCTGTATCCGCGTACTTGGACACCAGATAAGCAATGATCGCATGGGAGTCCCAAATGAAATGGCCATCATCTTCCAATGTGGGCACCGTGTGCTGGGGGTTCTTCTCCAAATAGGCCGATGAAAGTTGTTCACGGGCTATAATGTTTATGTTTACAAATTCGTAGGGCAGGTTCAGAGCGGCCAAAGTGAGTTTTACGGCACGAACTGGCGGACTTGGATCCAAACCGTACAGAGTCAATTTCACCATCTTGTCGTCTTGGAGTATTTTTCACAACTGATCGTTGAAAAAAGTAAGTTAGTTTATTTATTGGACGGTTTGTCACGGTAAGAGAAAGTTTAAGAGATGGAAATATAACCTACATATGTAGCTAAAGTTTATTTTGTTTTTACATGTTAATAATAATATGCTATACTTTATTATTTGTCATCCATAAAATTGTTGATTGTTAAAAAAAAAAAAGATAAGTCAAGAGAGTGGTATTTGTAATAATCAAACAGTTTATCTATTTTGTTTGCCATACCAAAAGCAAATGAACGGAGAGCACAGCAGATGATGAGTTTTTACAAGTCATGCTGACAAAGGGCAATAAAATAGAAAGAGCTCGAAATGTTTGAGTATACAAGTATATGCCTACAAATATACTAATTCTCTTTAATATAACAAGTAAAACGCTCTCTTAGACCCCTCTTACTTATATTCAAAAAAAAATTTTTTTTTTGTAATATTCCAATCTATGAACTTTACAACGAATGTCTAAAAAGTTTGGAATCATTGAATTTTAATGAAACAATTTAAATATTATTTCCTTTTTATACCCTTGCAGAGGGTATTATAATTTTGGTCAAAAGTGTGCAACGCAGTGAAGTAGACATCTCCGACCCTATAAAGTATATATATTCTTGATCAGGATCACCTCCTGAGTTGATATAAGCATGTCCGTCTGTCTGTTTCTACGCCAACTAGTCTCTCAGTTTTAAAGATATCGAATTGAAACTTTGCACACACCCTTCTTTCCTTTGCAGGCAGTATATATGTAACTCGGAACGGCCGGGATCGGCCGGTTATATCCTATAGCTGCCATATAACTGAACGATCGGAAATACCATAACTTTGGTGGTTTTAAAGTTAGGAAGTTAAAAAGTTAAGGCCTCATTTGAGTCATAGAGATAACAATAAGACTATAGTTGATAAGCTTTTATCATCTTGTCGCCTTGGGGTAGTTTTTACAACTGATCGTTGAAATTAGTAAGTTTGCTTATCATTGTACTGTTTGTCACTGTAAGAGAAAGTTTAAGAGAGAGAGAACTTTTCCTACAAAACCATCTAAGAATTATTTAGTTCTAACATGCTAATTGTTATTGTTAAAAAAAATTATAAGTCATGGTTTTTGATATTTAATTATCAATACCTTAATCTTATATAAGGCAATTTCTCTTCAATTATAATAGCTTAATCTTATAAAGGGTAGTTTCTCTTCAGTCTTAATAAATTAATAGCTTTTGTCTTTGTATTTAATGATTTTATCAAGTAAACTTTTACAGCTATGTTGAAAAAACATTTCTCGAGAACATCAGACTGCATTATATGATTTATACATGTATATAGCAAATCGATAAGCTTTATTTGATAACGGCTTATCAATTTTGTTTGTCACATAAAAAGTAAATGAACGGAGAGCACAGCAGATGATGAGTTATTACAAGTCATGCTGACAGAGGGGGATATAAAATAGAAAGAGCTTGGAATGTTTGAGTACACAAGTATGAATATGTCTACATATGTACATAGGTAGATAATTTCCGTCCATATAGTGTAAAGCATTCTCTTTAAAATAACTAGTAAAACTCTCTTTTAGACCTCTCTTACATCTATTCTAAAAAATGGTTTTATTTTTATTATTCTGATCCTTACAACAAACGTATTAAAAGTTTGGTATCATTCAATTTTGACGAAACACTTTAAATATATTTTTCTTCTTTATTAACTTATTATTTAAAATATTTGCTTTACTAAAGAAGGGTATGAATTATATGTTTATAATGTTTTTTAACTGTTATTAATTATTATTTGATGTTATCTGCAGCTAGTAATAGGTTCATAGAGCTTTTATTAAAAGATTTAAAAAGCTCATCATCATCAACAAGCTGAGAACCTTATTTGAGTCATACAGATAACATTAAGGCTATTGTTGATAAACCTTCTATCAAGTTTGTTTGCCAAAGAATTAAGTAAGCATTCTGAGGACCGATCAAATTAGATAAGAAATTAAAATTCATGCTTTTTATAGTTATTGAAAGCCATTGAATACAGTTCCTGACCATTAAAATGTTTAGTCACTCTGCTGATACTAGATTAAAATGGAAACTTGTTATGCAAAATTTAAGTGTAATAATATTTACATTTTTTTAAATTTATATCAGCACGCAGTGCAGTACGTCGCCATTAAGGTAATTATTATCCTGATCCAATTGAAAGAATATTTATAGGGAGTGCTTTAATCAATTTATTTGTAAGTTTGGGAACAGAAAATATAGTGAAGATATTCAAAGAATTTTGTATTTGAAATTGGAGAACGAAGATTATTTTGTGCTACGTCCAATTATTAAAACGAAGGAAACAGCAACTTTAAATCATATGTTTTTTGCTTATGTTGAATTTGAGATTTTAGGATTTCTCAGAGTTTTTCGTTTAGGGCACAATAGTGAAGTTCTTGGACCTCAAGAGGTCCACATACTGGGCGGCTCCACTCCCGTTGGCCTCCTCGTAGTAGGGCAGCTCCCTGAGCCTGTCCAGCCAGGCGGCAATCCTGGGATACTTGGCCAAATCCAGTTCGAGGAAAACTCCAATCGAGGTGATGGTCGAGACAATGCTGAAGTCGGCTATGGTCAGTTGGTCGCCGGCCAAGTAATCATGGTCATCGAGAAAAGCCTCCACAAAGTCGTAGATTTGGTTGATGTGATCCACTTGATTCCGGGGCAATGTGGATTCGCCGTTGAAGAGAATCGGTCGGGTCAATCTCCTTAGGGCAGATTCAAAAATCACACCCGACTCAAAGTGCAGCAGTTGATCCACTTTAGCGCGCTGCAGCAAATCCTTGGGATACAGCTCATCGCTCGCCGCATATTTCCCAACCAGATAGGCCATGATGGCATGGGAATCCCAGATGCAGGCATCGTCATCCTGCAACAGCGGCACCGTGTGCTGCGGGTTCTTCTTCGAGTACTCCTCACTGTAGTTCTCCTTCTCGAACAGATTGACGAAGACGAAATCGAACGGAATGTCCAGGGCCTTCAGGGTGAGCAGACATGCCCGGGTGGGCGGACTTGCGTCCAGGCCGTACAGCGATATCTTACCCATGCTCCAGCGGATTCACAACTGATTGGTGACTGCCATTCCAGGACTGTTTTATAGCAAACTGCAGGCCATGGGAACCTTCAACCTGGCTGCGGATATTTAATTAACTCCGCCCACACCAACCACAATTCTTAACACGCACCATGAAAACAAATTTATTTTAAATTCAAATAATTATATTTTAATTGTTGCATTGCATTGACCTAAACTATTGATTCGAAATGTGGTGTACCTAAAGAATTTATTTCAATTAAAATTAATATTTTCTTTTAAAGCTTCTCTTAATCCAAAAAAAAAACAAATAACAAATTTTAAGTCTATACACAAATGTTGAACAAATGAGTGAAGTAAAAGAAAATGTATGAATTTATAAGGTTAAAAAAGGTCTAAAATTGAAAAAAAAATAATTTTGATTAATCCCTTAAAAGTTTAAATAATATACCCATAAAAAGATTAACTAAATATGCATAAACTTTTATTTTATTAAAAAAGTATAAATTTCAAATTTGGTGTGTTTATTTCTTGGGTTTAGTGTATTTTGATACCCCCTTTTTCGTCGAGTGTCGACGTTGACAAATGTTTTTCATTAATTTTTTTGTAATTAGCTTTGAATTAAATATTAATGCAGCAACACACTCGGTAATTGTGGGAACGCAAGCTTACAGAAGGGTCAGCTGGTCCTTCAGCAAGTCCACGTACTTCCTGGCCCCCACCCCATTGGCCTCCTCGTAGTAGGGCAGTTCCTGGAGGCGCTCCAACCAGGCGGTTACCTTCGGATACTTCTCCGCCTCCAGGGGGATAAAGGCCGGCAGGGAGGAGGCTGTGGCGGCACAGCAGAAGTCAGCCACGGTCAGGTTATCGCCGGTAACGTAGGGATTCTCCCCCAGAAAGGCCTCCAAATGGCCATAACCATCTCGCACATTGTCCGCCTTCTCCTGCGAAATCTCCGTGACATTTTTGAGGAAATACGGAGCACAAATGTTACGCAACGCCATGAACAGGGCACTGGCATCGAAGTACAGGCGCTGATCCACCTGGGCACGCTTCACCAAATCCTTGGGATACAGCTCGTCCGTTTTGGCATACTTTCCCACCAGGTAGCACACGATGGCATGTGAGTCCCACACAAGAACTCCATTATCATCCAGCAGCGGAACAGTGTGCTGCGGATTCTTCTTGAGGAACTCCTCCTTGCGGTGCTCTCCGGCCAGGAGATCCACTTCCTTGAACTCGTACTCCAATTCCAGGGCTCGCAGAGTCAGCTGGCAGGATCTCACTGGCGGACTAATGTCCAATCCGTACAGCACAATTCCCGACATGATCCAAGCTCAATCAGTTATATCAGCGAAATGATACTGATTCTAGGGCTTCCCAAAGTATTTATAGCTTTTCAGAGCTTCGAACGTGTGCATTTCCAGTCCATCCCAAGCTAGTTCCCATGAAATGGAAATGCGATCCTGGGTGCGACTCCAGTCCAAAGTACGTTTCCATTCCGCGAAGCGCCTACTATCAAATGTTGTTCTCAGGAAATCGAGGGTGATTACAGCAGCAAGCGCAGAATTTTTGTAAACATATCATATTTTGGCAGCCCACAGCTCAAGTTCACTTTCAGCTTAAAGAATAGTAAAGAAAACTTAATTTAATCCTTTGATGTTGAATATATTTGGATTGCTGAGTCATTAAGAGAAGACATTTTGATTCCGAATATCGTTACTTTTCAGTGATTGTATAAGTAATGCGAATTTAAAGTTTCAAGTCAAAAATAAATATAACTAATTAGGAATATAAGGTAATAAATATGGTCATAAACTCCGATGATGTGGAAATCGGCAATGGTTACTCTATTTCGGTCCAGGAAGCCGTTGTTTTCCAAAAGAAAGTCAAGTGTTTAAACTAGGAACTTTAGTTTATCCATTTTTGTAAATAATTGGGATAAAGTTAGTGTTGATGTGATGGGTATCTTTTATATAGAAATAACTATCATCCACTAATGTCGGGCTGATCTTCCGATATTCCTGCTTCATATGCTTATAGGCCATCAGATTTGCGATCTTGTATTCGATTCCTTACCTGACGATTCTTCTCCTATATCGATTTGTTAGTTGTTTTTCCTGCTTTTAGTGTACGGTTTTTATAGACGGCTAGTTCTCTTAAGTTAAGAGCGTTTTACCGTTTTAGCTTTGACGACTCCGCAGTAAACAAAATTCGAAAACATCAGGCAATAATTTTTATACCCTTGCAGAGGGTATTATAATTTCAGTCAAAAGTTTGCAACGCAGTGAAGGAGACATTTCCGACCCTATAAAGTATATATATTCTTGATCAGCATCACCAGGAGAGTCGATCAAGCCATGTCCGTCTGTCCGTCCGTCTGTCCGTCTGTCCGTCTGTCCGTCCGTCCGTTTCTACGCAAACTAGTCCCTCAGTTTTAAAGCTATCCGCTTGAAACTTTCCCAAAAGTTGTCTTTCTATTGCAGGTAGTATATAAGTCGGAACGAGCCGGATCGGGCTACTATATCATATATCTGCCATATAACTGAACGATCGGAAATGCCATAACTTTGGTGTTTTTCAAATTAGCAAGTTAGGAAGTTCTATGGGTTTTATTTTTGGCTAATCAGTCTAACTTACAAAATTTCATAAGGATCGGACGACTATATCCTATAGCTGCCATATAACTGATTGATCGGAAATGCCATAACTTTGGTGTTTGTAAAGTTAGGAAGTTGGGATTATCTATGGGTTTTATTTTTGGCCAATCAATCTGACCTGCCAAATTTCATAAGGATCGGCCGACTATATCCTATAGCTGCCATATAACTGAACGATGGGAAATGACATAACTTTGGTGTTTTTAAAGTTAGGAAGTTGGGATTTTTTATGAGTATTAAGAATGCATCATATAAATAATTTTGGAGAATATAATGCAAGGGTATATCAACTTCGGCTCCGCCCGAAGTTAGCTTTCCTTTCTTGTTTCTCTTCGAATAAACAGGTTGAATGAGAGCTAATGTCGATTTACCTTACCTCCCCACTCTACGCACGTTTTATATATTCCGGTTAATTATCCGGTTTTATTGCAGTAATTACTAAACCCAAATCAGATAAGTACGAAATGTAATCGATTCATGTACACACCTTTGACATATTAGTCATTATTAAAACTAAGTCTTTATCAAAAAACATGTTAAAGTCATAGAAGAACAATAAAGTTCCGATCGCACTATCCATATCCAACATTATAATATCCGTTAATGTTTTACAATTTTATTACTTACACAAAAAAATGGAGTAGAAAAACTTCGAGTTATATGTATGTACATATGTAGATGCATAATCGAATTGGAGTTTAAATTTAATGTAACTTATTAACAAGTGTTTAACCAGAAGGAAATTTATGAGAAGGGAGTATTTAATTTGAATAAAAAGGTGACTAGACATCTTTCATAACATAAGTTAATCTTGTTTTTAGCTTTTCTTAAAGTTTGATTACACTACCAGTTTGTAATCTTAAAGTTGTCGCGTCCGAAAAACTGGAACTGCCCATAAACCTTTTATCAAACGTGACCAATAGTTTCTCTTATCGATTCGTTCAAAACGAGTTCGACTGATAGAAAATCAGTTTCATCGTACAAAAGTCAAGTGGTTTTAGTAATATATTTAATAATTTATTTTTCTAGTTTCAGACAATGGTAAAGTTTTTGCTCTTGATGAACTCGATGATTTGGGCAGCTCGGGAGCCGTTGGCCTCCTCGTAGTAGGGCAGCTCCTTGATGCGCTTAATCCAGGCAGCTAGTCTGGGATATTTGGTGGCATCCACGGCCAGGAAAGTCACCAAACCGGTAAGGGCAGCTGTGACGTGGAAATCGGCAATGGTCAGGCTATCTCCAGCCAGGTAGTCGCCACTCTCCAGGAACAGATCCAGGGACTTGTACACACCCTCCAGTGCATCGATCTTGGCCTGGGGAATTGCCGAGTTGTTTTGCCACAAAACCTGGCCTGTAATAGCCGTTCCCGTGGACGTGATCACACTGGAATCGTAATGCAAACGCTGATCGACGATGGCTCGCTTCTTCAGTTCCTTTGGATACAGGGAATCGTTCTTGCCGTACTTGCTCACCAAGTACGAGTTGATGGCATGGCTGTCGGACAGGTAGAATCCATTATCATCCAGAGCGGGCACGGTGTGTAGAGGATTTATTTTTAGGAACTCTGGCTTCAGGTGCTCCTTGGCCAGCAGATTTACGATCTTGTACTCGAAATCTATACCCAAGGCGTTCAGGGCATGATACAATAACATAAGGTAGTCTCGTCGGCAAATTTTGGAACCCTACTATTAAAACAATGAGTGCGAGTGAAATGGCAACTGTTTAGTAAGTGCGAGCAGAGCGACAATAGAATGTGTGGATTAACCCTTAGATGGTTCAGGGGGTTTTTTTTGCCTTTCATAATAAAAGGAGTTTAATTTTTTTTATAATTTAATTTTTAATAATTTTGAATTTGAAATTAGGCGTTGTTTTTGCCTCTGAATACTGAGTCTTTTGTTGAGATTCTTAATTTTAAAATATATTCTAATCTTAAAATAGCAAAGAATGTAAACGAACCTTTAATAATCGCAGCCGAAAATGTTAGTATAAGTTTAGACATAAAAACTTATACTAATATTTTCGGTTGCGATTATTAAAGTTTCTTTTACATTCTTTGTTATTTTAAAAGTATCACAGCGATTCCTCCCACAGCGCTCTTTTTTCCAAACATTTCGGTGCCTTTACGCCATCGACGTGTTTGCGGCACACATTGCAAAATGTCATGTTGCTCAAGGGTTAATTTCCTAAAAAATTCGTCCGCAGACAACCTTTCCCTTCGAAAGACGAACACGCACTGACCAAAACCCGAACGTTTAGACAGCCGACGAGACTACCTTATGTTATTGTATCATGGTTCAGGGTGAGGAGGACCGAGCGAACTGGAGGACTTCCATCGATTCCGTAAAGCGTAAGTTTTCCCATGTCGTTGTTGTTTCGTGACTATCAAATAACTGTTTATAAGCAACCCGAAATTGGGGATTTATATACCCCTGGCTGAGTCATTAAATTAAGAGAGCTTTGCACTGCTGCGATGACTCTGCAGTTTGCCTACAAATTGCGCTCGAAACCCACATATTTCGCTGCCTCTTTTGTATATTGCTGGTTTCCCTAGGTATTTCACTATACTCTTTTGACGTATAGTCGCTTTATAGTATATATGCGGCAACTATAGGAAAAATACTGTAAACAAAAGTTCACATATTATTTCACATTCTCTCCCTCTCTCTCTCTTAAGTGTTATTATGCCCATTTGCTTCTCTTTTCTTAATATACTTTGATGGCTTTAATTTCTAAGGTGTATTATTATACCCGTTACTCGTAGAATAAAAGTATGTATCAGCACTAACCATACAACATATAGACTGGTCATTTCATACAACGAATTTGGTCACAAAATTTTTCACTCGGGGAGCCCCAGTGCTGGAATCGGCAGGCCCCGACACTTCGTGTGCCTTCGGGTTTTTTCGCTCTCGTTCTAATTCTTATTTTGACGCTCGCGCTCGAGTTCGGTCGTTCAGTCGCAGAGACGCGCATTTTGAAGAAGGTTGGCCTGCGCTTGAATTGGGCTTTGTATGTATGCGTGTTCATGCATTCTCATACAGGGGTGCATGTGTGCGATCATTTCATTTCGATGCAGCAAGAATATTTTGTCTTTTGCTACTTTTCAGACTTGGTACCCTAACAATATGGGCGTATTCACTATTGGGTTAATGATAAAAATAAGAATATTATATGTTATAGTATATTTTTAATATTTCAGCATATATTTCATCTTGGTTTACAAATTCAAATCAGTGGTAGCAAAAAAATATTTTGCATATATGTATGTATTCCAATTAATAGAAATCAATCTACTGAGATAGGAACAGGGCACATCGCAGTCGGTGTCTGCGCTTAGTGGTTCAGAAAACTTCAAACCAAATCAGCTTTGGTTGTTGTTCTACGAGCGTATGGTGCCTGCATAGCCTACCGACGATTGAATTTTAGGGGTGGGTACAGAAACAAGAACGTTTTTTAGGACACTTGTTTTGAATGTTATGTTTAATGATAATTAATTTTATAATTTTTTTTTTATATTAAAAATCATTAAAAGTTTACTTCTTGATTTAAAATAGTAATATAAATTTAAGAAAATCACTTCAAATTTTTTTGTCTGTACTTTATAGTGGATAAACAATTTGTTATTTTCCAAGATTAAAACTATAAAATTATTATATGTACATATGTATATTTATCGGTAACTAATTCAAGCGGCGACTTTCAAGAATAAGCAAACATAAAAATATATATAACTAGATCATTAAATAACAACATTAAACAAAATTACACTGCGAATCAAAAAAAAAATCAACCAAAACTCATTAAACATATCATTCAAAACAAGTGTCCTAAAAAACGTTCTTGTTTCTGTACCCACCCCTAAAATTCAATCGTCGGTAGGCTATGCAGGCACCATACGCTCGTAGAACAACAACCAAAGCTGATTTGGTTTGAAGTTTTCTGAACCACTAAGCGCAGACACCGACTGCGATGTGCCCTGTTCCTATCTCAGTAGATTGATTTCTATTAATTGGAATACATACATATATGCAAAATATTTTTTTGCTACCACTGATTTGAATTTGTAAACCAAGATGAAATATATGCTGAAATATTAAAAATATACTATAACATATAATATTCTTATTTTTATCATTAACCCAATAGTGAATACGCCCATATTGTTAGGGTACCAAGTCTGAAAAGTAGCAAAAGACAAAATATTCTTGCTGCATCGAAATGAAATGATCGCACACATGCACCCCTGTATGAGAATGCATGAACACGCATACATACAAAGCCCAATTCAAGCGCAGGCCAACCTTCTTCAAAATGCGCGTCTCTGCGACTGAACGACCGAACTCGAGCGCGAGCGTCAAAATAAGAATTAGAACGAGAGCGAAAAAACCCGAAGGCACACGAAGTGTCGGGGCCTGCCGATTCCAGCACTGGGGCTCCCCGAGTGAAAAATTTTGTGACCAAATTCGTTGTATGAAATGACCAGTCTATATGTTGTATGGTTAGTGGTATCAGGTAGAAGCGATTCCAGGCGAATCAATATGAACTTCGCCTTGCTAACGTTTGCTTCCTTTCTTTTTTTATTGTTTAATTGATTTTAGTTAATTAAACTAATAAATTTTATAAGAACAATATCATAAAGTATCATAAAGTATTATTCTACTTCTCCGAACTTAAGAATTTAAAAACCTTTTTCTCAAGTTTGAAATAAAGTAATAGTTTTTATTTACTAATAGTTCTCATGTGGTTTTAAGTACTTTCAATAAACTCGATCGATCATAAATTTAATTACTCCCCCGCATAAAAAAATTTTAGAATTAACTTTGTTATTTATTCAAAATTCGATAAATACTATTGCTCTAATGTTAAACAGGGTTGGAGCAAAGCTATGTATTCTTCCAAGCCCCGAAGATTGTCCTCCTCGTAATGAGGCAATCTGGATAGGCGATCAAGCCAATCCGCCACCTTGGGATATTTTTCGTGATCCAGTTCGAGAACAGCGGCCAGCGAGGAGGCAGTAGCTCCACAGCAGAAATCAGCCAGGGTTAGAGTGGACCCAGTCAGATAGGGATTACCTCCGAGAAATGTCTCCAGATGGCCGTAGGCATCTTTAATGTTATCCACCTTCTCCTTGGGAACCAGGTTTACTTGGCTAATAAAATAGGGTATACTGACATTACGCAGCGACATGAAGAGAATACTCGCATCAAAGAACAAGCGTTGATCAACCTGAGCCCGCTTAACCAGATCCCTGGGATAGAGCTCATCCGACTTGGCGTACTTGTCCACCAAGTAGCACACAATGGCATGTGAGTCCCAGATGAGGGCTCCATTATCATCGAGGAGCGGCACCGTGTGTTGGGGGTTCTTCTCAAGGAACTCATCGCTGAACTGTTCTCCCGCCAAAAGATTCAATTCCTTGTATTCATAGTCTAAATTCAAGGCTCGCAAAGTCAGTTTGCAGGCTCGAACTGGCGGACTTATGTCCATTCCATACAATACTATTCCCGGCATGATGCGACCACGAAGAAGACTCAATTTTCACTGAAACCCCATAGTAGTTCACATACAGAATTCTTAACGAACTTAAATAAAGCAGTAATTGGTTGCGCCGAGTTCACCCCTCTTTCGTTTTAAATCAACTTTTGTATTTTTACACTGATAAAATTAAGTTAAACGTAGATGGAGGAAAACAAATACTTATCATAAAATCCAGAGCCAAATTTTCTTTTCAAATTGTCCTATATTTATTTTGTATTTTACATCTTCTTAATAAAATTATAATTTTATATTAAGGATTGTAACTTCCTAGATATGAAAAAAAAATAATCAAAATTAAAATGTGCAACACAAATTTGACAAAAAATACTTTAATTTCCTTGATTATATGTATTTCAAATTTACATATTTAAAAACTTAATTACTCATATTTTTAGTTTTGGTATTTTATTCAAGTCTTTGTTTAGTTATCCCCGAGCTTGGTCCACGCTTTCCGTAAAAATGCGACGTAGTCTTGAACAGGACCTTCGTTGATCTCCTTGTACCAGGAGATCTGGTTAAGTCGATCCAGCCAGGCGGTGATCTTGGGATAGGCTCCTGGTTCGATGTCGACGGCGGCGCGCAGAGCACTTACAGTGGGTCCGGTGACCAGATCGGCGAGGGTCAGCGAATGGCCCGCCAGATATGTAGTGCTGTCCAGGAAAGTCTCCAGCAACTTCAGACCCCGATGAATGGTGTCTAGTTTCTCCTGGGGCACCACCGTAACTCCACTAAACCAGAAGGGACGCACTACGTCGAAATAGCTCGGGGAGATTACGCTGGCTTCGAAGAAGAGGCGCTGATTGATGATCGCCCGCTTGACCAGATCCTTGGGATACATCTCGTCAGACTTGCCATACTTATCCACCAAATAGGTGGCGATGGCGTGCGAGTCCCAGAGATAAGTTCCATTATCATCCAGTACTGGTACCGTGTGCTGTGGATTCATCTTGAGGTATTCCGGAGTAAGGTTTTCGCCCATCTTCAGATCCACCTCCCTGAATTCGTGGTCTAAATTCAGGACCTTGAGGGTCAGGCTGATGGCCCTAACATAGGGACTCCAGTCCGTTCCGTACAGTACAACACCGGTGCTCGACATCTTGAGTAGTTCAACCGACAACGCTTTAATTACGACTACTGTTCCCCCTCATTAGTTTATATACTATACTGCTTAAAAAAGCTTTTGCCTTAACTGAGAGCATTTTGATAAAAGCTCTGGTTTTGTTGTTTGTTTCTAACCAAAAAATTTGTTTATCATTATTGCCAATTTGTATTATTTCACCACGAGAATTGATTCCTATGGCTTTGATTTGTTGTTTTGTTTACCATTTAAAGTTTAAACATTTTTTGTGGTCTAAGCAATTTGCAAATCAGTGATATGACCAAAAATGATATCTAGATAAATATTCTTATAGCACTTGCCCAAATAATAAATAAGTATAGACCTTTTTTTTTTGATTATTCTTTTTCAAGACATATATTTTAATTAGCTAAATGATTGATATTTTGAAATGTATGCGCATATAGGAACAAATTAACTATAAATGTCGAGCCATTATTCAAATTTTACGTTGGGTGTATTGCTCACTTATTCCCCAGCTTGGTCCACTGACTGCGAAGGAAACCGACGTAAGTTTGAGCCGGAACCTCGTTGATCTCCTTGTAAAAGGGCAGCTTGTTGAGGCGATCCAACCAAGAGGTGATCTTGGGATAGACCGCAGCATCAATGTCCACAGCAGCGGGAATGGAGCTCACAGTGGGTCCAGTGCACAGATCGGCGAGGGTCAGCTTGTCGCCCGCCAGATATGGACTGTCGCCCAGGAAGGTCTCCAGCAACTGCAGACCCCGGTGTATTGTGTCCAGTGGCTCCTGGGGAACCTCCGTAATACCACTTCTCCAAAAAAGGCAGCTTACGTCGGCCAAGTTCGCAAAGATGACGCTGGCATCGAAAAACAAGCGCTGATTGATGATCGCCCGCTTCACGAGATCCTTGGGATATAGCTCGTCCGATTTGCCGTACTTATCCACCAAATAGGTGGCGATGGCGTGCGAGTCCCAGATGATTGTACCATTATCATCCAGTACCGGCACCGTGTGCTGTGGGTTCTTCTTTATGAACTCCTCGCCCAGGTGTTCGCCCCCTATCAGATTCACCTCCTTGTATTCGTAGTCCAAATTCAGAACCTTGAAGGTCAGTTTTACGGCCCTCACACATGGACTGATGTCCGCTCCATAAAGTACAATACCAGTGTTCGACATATTGTGTTGTATATCCACCAATGATTTTATTACGACTCACCTGCTCCCGGTTGTTTATATACTGCTCTGTCCAAAGCTTTTTGCTTATTGTAAGAGCATTCCGGCATTGAAAGATAAAAGCTCTGGGTTGAGTGTTGGTTTGTTTGAGTCTAAGTCAAACATGGGTTTGCTCATATTTTAATACCCTAAAAGCAGGTATTATCATTTCAGTTAATAGCTCGCTATTAAAGACATTTCCGAAAATTTAAAGAATATAGATAAAACTATTCCAAAAGTCATCATGTTATTGCATATATTATACAGAGGTGGTCAAAAGTATTTGCACAAATTACAAGTACTTACTCATAAGAAATGTGCAAATACTTTTGAGCACCCTTGTATATGTCGGAGTAGGCTAAACTAATCTCACATAGAAACTATTGGAAAATTGAATGTAAACAAGAAAGAAAAGCTAACTTCGGGCGGAGCCAAAGTTAAAATACCCTTGCAGAATATTCTGTAAATTATATTCTCCAAAATTATTCATATGATGCATTCTTAATACTCATAAAGAATCCCAACTTCCTAGCTTTAAAAACACCAAAGTTATGGCATTACCAATCGTTCAGTTATATGGCAGCTATAGGATATAGTCGGCCGATCCTTATGAAATTTGAGATTGTCAGATTGATTGGCCAAAAATAAAACCCATAGAAAATCCCAACTTCCTAACTTTACAAACACCAAAGTTATGTCATTACCGATCAATCAATTGTAGCTGGATATAGTCCGCCGATCCCAGCCGTTCCGTTATATACTGCGTGCAAAGGAAAGAAGGCTGTGTGCAAAGTTTCAATTCGATATCTTTAAAACTGAGAGCCTAGTTTGCGTAGAAACAGACAGACGGACAGACGGACGGACGGACATGCTTATATCAACTCAGGAGGTGATCCTGATCAAGAATAAATATACTTTATTGGGTCGGAGATATCTCCTTCACTGTGCCTCGCAGATCACCAAGATTCGGTGGCTGCAACAGAAGAATCTCGTGCACTTTCTGCTCTTCTGGGGCACCACCGACTATAATACGGTGCTAATTTTTTGAGAACATTTGGATTAGAGCTCTGGTTTTTGTTGTTCTTTGTTTTTAAGCAAAAAACTTTGTTCACCGTTATTTGCAATTTGAAATATTTCACCACGATAAATATTTATTGATAAGACCGTGTTTTGTTGGCAATGCAACGAATTGTTTACCAATTGTTATCAGTTTAAACAATTTGCAAGTCATTGATATGCAGTTAACCTTTCGTTCTCTTTTTTTCACCAAAAATATGGTCTATTCTTTGATCAAAAATCATATATCATACAATTTGCCCAAAATAATAAATAAATATATAAATTTGTTGGTACTACATTTTTTTAAAACATATATTTTAATTTGTTAAATGACTGATATTTTTGAAATGTAATCGCACATAGGAACAAATTAAATATAAATATCGTGCCCTTATTCATATTTTACGTTGGGTGAATTTTTTGTTAGTGTATTGTTCACTTATTCCCCAGCTTGGTCCACTTGCTGCGAAGAAAGCCGACGTAAGTTTGAGCCGGACCCTCGTTGATCTCCTTGAAATAGGGCAGCTTATTAAGGCGATCCAACCAGGCGGTGACCTTGGGATAGACCGCAGCATCGATGTCCACGGCAGCGGGAAGGGCGCTGACAGTGGGTCCAGTGCACAGATCGGCGAGGGTCAGCTTATCGCCCGCCAGATATGGACTGTCGCCCAGGAAGGTCTCCAGCAACTGCAGACCGCGGTGTATTGTGTCCAGATTCTCCTGGGGAACCTCCGTAATACCACTTCTCCAAAAAAGGACCGCTTACGTTGGCCAAGCTCGCAAAGATGACGCTGGCATCGAAAATCAAGCGCTGATTGATGATCGCTCGCTTGACCAGATCCTTGGGATACAGCTCGTCCGACTTGCCGTACTTATCCACCAAATAGGTGGCGATGGCGTGCGAATCCCAGATGATTGTACCATTATCATCCAGTACCGGCACCGTGTGCTGTGGGTTCTTCTTTATGAACTCCGCGCTCAGTTGTTCGCCCGTCATCAGATTCACCTCCTTGTATTCGTAGTCCAAATTCAAGACCTTTAAGGTTAGTTTTGCGGCCCTTGAACATGGAGCGATGTCCGATCCATAAAGTACAATACCCGTGCTCGACATATTGTGTTGTATAACGACCAATGATTTTATTACGACTCATCTGCTCCCGGTTGTTTAAATACTGTTCTGTCCAAAGCTTTTTGCTTATTGTAAGAGCATTCCGGCATTGAAAAATAAAAGCTATGGCTTGGGTGTTGCCTTGTTTGTTTCTACGTCAAACTAGGCTTTGTATATATTGCAATACCCTTAAACTGGGTATTATGATTAACAGGAGAAATTTCCGAACATTTCAAGAATCTAGATAAATTTTTTTCCAAAAGTCTTTATGCTATTGCAGGCATATATAATGTCGGAACAGGCTAGATTGAAATAATATATCATATATCTAACCTATTAGAAAATTAATTGGAACAAATTATTGCTTCAATTATGTATTTACGCTGAGATATTTATTGTACACAGATTTGGAAATAATGATCTAATTGTTTTTTAAATTTCCCAGTTATATGACTGCCAATATTCTTGGAAACTCGCGAAAACTGACAACACATCTTTGTTTTTAAATAAATATATTATGTTAAATTTACAAAGGTACTTAAATTTTTTTGTATCAGCAAGGGTATATAAACATGGACATGTTAACTTTCTCGGACTTAATTAGTTCTGAAACGTATTATCACGGTGGTGAAATTGTCGATGTAGATTAGACGACCACTTAAAAGTCAAGTCATTCTAAAAAACCATCTCATCATGCTGAAAACGCTTTAATATATTGAACAATTGTGAATATATACTTAATACTTTTTGTGTTGAGGTATTCTCTTGATAAGAATAATGATTTGTATTTTATGGGTGTAGTACTATTACTGATAAGCGTAGAATTATCTACACCAGTTTGAATTCGTGTAGAGGCCATGTAGATTGATTATTCAATTTTACTTTACTTACTTGCTGAAAAGTTCTAAAAACCGAATACAAAGCTTTGAAACAAGTACAGGCTAATACAGAGCATAAACTCTCTTTGTTCAATTAACTTTTAATTGTTTTCTAAAAACAAAAAGGCTGAAATTTTTTTAAAATTCAAAAATTGTTAAACATTTATTTTACTGTCTTACGTCGACAAAAACCATTTTATAATCCAACTAAATAAAACCTTAGATACTCCAAAAATTGTAATATATTAATACACTACATAATTGTAAACCCCTTTGATTTTCCACCCATGATCACATAAATCATGGGGACGTTGGGCAAATATTGAAGCAGCAACAGATAGCAGACCGACTTATCTCGGGAATTAATAAACAATCAGGCAAAACTTAAACTTGCAGCATTATGACGTCTTTGTGATAATTATCAAGAAACTAAGTTTAGTATCTAATCTTATCGAGGGTAAAGTTAGGAATCATTCCGGCTGCCTTTAGTCAGTTTTGGATGGCCCGTTGTCTGCTACGAATCTCAAATTAAACAGCTAGAAGTGAAGAATTGAAGTAAGCAAGATGGTGAACCTGATTTTATATGGCACTGAATCCAGTCCGCCGGTTCGGGCCGTTTTGCTGACCCTGCGCGCCCTGAAACTGGAGCACGAGTTCCGCCCACTGGACATGCAGGCGGGGGATCATCTGAAGCCGGAAATGTTGCGCAAGAATCCCCAGCACACGGTGCCCATGTTGGAGGATGGTGAGGAGTGCATCTGGGACTCGCATGCCATCATTGGCTATCTGGTGAACCAGTATGCCCAGTCGGATGAGCTCTATCCCAAGGATCCGCTGCAGCGGGCTGTGGTGGATCAGCGGTTGCACTTCGAGACCGGTGTCCTTTTCCACGGCATCTTCAAGCAGTTGCAACAGGCTCTGTTCCGAGATAATGCCACCGAGGTGCCCAAGAATCGATTGGCCGAACTGCGGGATGCCTACGCCTTGTTGGAGCAATTTTTGGGGCAGAATCCCTATTTGGCCGGTCCACAGTTGACCATCGCCGACTTTAGCATTGTGGCCACGGTGAGCACCCTGCACCTGAGCTACTGCCCCGTGGAAGACTCTAAATACCCGAAGTTATCCGCCTGGCTGACACGGCTTTCCGAATTGCCCTTCTATGAGGAGGATAACCTAAGAGGAGCCCGCCTACTGGCCGATCGCATCCGCGCCAAACTGCCCAAGCAGTTCGACAAACTGTGGCAAAAGGCATTCGAGGACATCAAGAGCGGAGCCGGAAAACAGTGATCAGTTTGTTCCCTTTTAACCTGATGTTAAGCAATATTTAAAGAGTTTACAGTTTTGTAAATAAAAACTTTTTTCGAACATCTTGCCATTTTTATTTAAGAAAGCAAAGCCAAATCTTAATTCAGAGATATCCTTGGCAGGGTATTACAATTTCAGTCAACACATTGAAAAGTACATTCCGACCCTATAAATTATATATTTTCTTGGCCAGCATTAAAAGACGATTGTCTATTTGTTTGTACTTATCGGCCTACTACATTAAATCAAATAGTTCTTAATAGAACAATATAAATAAAATTATAAATTTCTTGTTTCTTAACATATATCCACATAGTCCAAGATATACTATTTGTTAGCAATTTCAATTTGTTTTACGGGTTTATAAAATTCGGACGATCGTGTCATTTATCTGCCACTTTATCTGTGTACACTTTATATGCAAATAAAACATTAGCTTCTATAGAAGCTACTTTCATAAACCAATTTTTTCCGGTGTATATCCTCCTTGGCGAGATACCACATAAGTAAAACATCTCTAACGCTTTTGAGTTCATTGCTAAAGGTTGTTTTTTGGGTAAGGTCCTTGATTACAGGAATTTCCTTCTCCTAGTTAGTATATCTATGAATCTAGATAAAGTTTTTCACAGCAGCGTTGAGTGCATTTCCAATAGCAACGCAGTCAAAAGTTTACAACTTTTTTGCGCTCATTAAAATTATAAAATTTTCCCCTCCACAAAGCGACACAAAATAGAAGATGGCGAGGGAATGAAAAGCGCAAAAAGTTTTCCTGCCGTGTCGTGCATGCTAAAGTTGTTAAATCATAATTAATTTATGACGGCGCCATCCGCCGAAGCAGCTAGCCGTCCATCCCCTCCTCTAAATCCCCTTCCCACCACTTCCCAATTTGCCTCTTATCTACACGCGGGTCTCGATTTCTTCAGGCCCTTCTCGTGACTAGTCCCCAAAAGGGCCTCGCCGTCGTTTAAAATACTCTTAAAAAGGAGCCCAAGTCTAAATACCTACCGGGTGTAGTCCGTTTCCAACCCCACAAGTGTCCTAAAGGAGATGCCGGCGTGAGAGGAAATTCACTCACGCGATAACAAATTATATTTATTTAAATAAAACCAAAAAAATGGATTTTAGGAAAAAAAATCTAAGGAAACTAATATATTTTCTTACTTTTTTTATTTGAATTATATTTTTAATTATACTGCTATCTATGTGTTAGATTAAGCAGGTTGTATATAATATTGCAGCTCAAAGATTGAAATAATCAATTTTGAATATGGGTAAAATAAACAAAAAAATTTAAAATGTAAAATATAAAAGTATATAAATAAAAAAAAATTTCAAATATAAATAAATAAAAGTAATAAGTTTTTTTATAAATATTTATTCGTTTTCATAAAATAAAGTTCAGAAAATAAAGCATAATGATATGATTTTTTTCCATTAATCTATACATTTTTCTTTAGTGGTAACAAATAATAATATAATTGTGTTATTGCATTTTTAAGCTGTGTTCAAATACAAGAACCTTAAAAGAAGTGTTCCTTTAATCAACACCTTCCATTTTCGTTTGTAAATTTTGAGCATAAGCCAGAAACAAGCGAAAATTCAAAGCCAGGATTCAGGAAGTCGTGACTTTGTGGGCATCTCAAGGACTTACCTTGCGTCGCCTGTTTTTATGTGCCTCATTGCAGCGGCGACGGCGTCGAGAGTGGTGGCAGGCAAACTAATTGGTTTAATTTCAACTTTTACTTTGGGCCACCCTGCTGTCCTGCCACCTTGCCACCCCACGTCCTTGTGCCTTAAGCATTCCCCCCACCGAGTCAGTGGCATTTGAGAAGTTTGCTTTGCTTTACGCTTCGCCTGCCACTTCACTTGCCTTCGTGGCGGGACGCTTTTACTTTTTCCTTTTCCGCTCTTACAGCCTTCCACTTTGCCGCTTTATTTCCTGCCCCCAAATCTTCTTGGAGAGCGGGGCATTAATTTATCGTAGTAGTTCTTTGGGATTACGACGAAAATGTTCCATATTTTGAGCAGTAAGACTAAGACATCATTCGAAATATGTTATAAAAGTTTTCGTGTTTTGACAGCTTACCCCACAACAATAAATTTTTGAAAAGCGAACCATAGTATCTGGTATAATTTACTATCTCTAAAAATCTGCATTCAAAATTTTCAATTTAACGTTGATCAAAATGTTGACCCATTTTCATGTTAGTTATTTGTAATTTTCCAATGTCTTGTAAACAGTGCCTCAAAATTGGACTTCTAGAGTCCATAACTTTACCAAATTTAATCCGATTCCAAAGTGGCACACCTCTAAAGACTTGTGATTTGATTCTCTAAAAATCTGCATTTAAAATTTTCGATTTAACGTTTATCAAAATTTTGACCCATTTTCATGTTAGTTATTTATGATTTTACGATGTCTTGTAAAACAGTGCCTCAAAATGGGACTTCAAGAGTCCATAACTTTACCAAATTTAAGCCGATTCCAAAGTGGCATACCTCTAAAGACTTGTGATTTGATTCTCTAAAAATCTGCATTTAAATATTTCGACTTAACGTTTATCCAAATTTTGACCCATTTTCATGTTAGTTATTTATGAATTTTCGATATCTTGTAAAACAGTGCCTCAAAATTGGACTTCTAGAGTCCATAACTTTACCAAATTTAATCCGATTCCAAAGTGACATACCTCTAAAGACTTGTGATTCGATTCTCTAAAAATTTGCATTCAAAATTTTTAATTTAACGTTGATCAAAATTTTGACCCATTTTCATGTTAGTTATTTATGAATTTCCGATATCCTGTAAAACAGTGCCTCAAAATTGGACTTCTAGAGTCCATAACTTTACCAAATTTAATCCGATTCCAAAGTGACATACCTCTAAAGACTTGTGATTCCATTCTCTAAAAATTTGCATTCAAAATTTTCAATTTAACGTTGATCAAAATTTTGACCCATTTTCATGTTAGTTATTTATGAATTTCCAATGATTTGTAAACAGTGCCTCAAAATTGGACTTCTAGAGTCCATAACTTTACCAAATTTAATCCGATTCCAAAGTGACATACCTCTAAAGACTTGTGATTCGATTCTCTAAAAATTTGCATTCAAAATTTTCATTTTAACGTTGATCAAAATTTTGACCCATTTTCATGTTAGTTATTTATGAATTTCCAATGTCTTGTAAACAGTGCCTCAAAATTGGACTTCTAGAATCCATAACTTTACCAAATTGAATCCGATTCCAAAGTGACATACCTCTAAAGACTTGTAATTCGATTCTCTAAAAATTTGCATTCAAAATTTTTAATTTAACGTTGATCAAAATTTTGACCCAATTTCATGTTAGTTATTTATGATTTTCCGATGTATTGTAAAACAGTGCCTCAAAATGGGACTTCAAGAGTCTATAACTTTACCAAATTTAAGCCGATTCCAAAGTGGCATACCTCTAAAGACTTGTAATCCGATTCTCTAAAAATCTGCATTCAAAATTTTCGATTTAACGTTGATCAAAATTTTGACCCATTTTCATGTTAGTTATTTATGATTTCCCGATGTCTTGTAAAACAGTGCCTCAGAATTGGACTTTTAGGACTTCTATTTATTTTACATTTTTATAAATTGGAGCTGAACAGCAGACCTATAGCTTAAATTTGATGCTCCGCATAATGGGAAACTTTTCGCCGGCACACTGACCTCGAAAATCATCCATGGACAGGTCGTGGAGGGCCACTCCGCCCAATCCTTTGGCCTGGACGAAATCGGCCTTAAGGGCCGCCGTTGTGGGATCCTCGTAGCCAACCCACAGTCCATTCTCCCCCTTGTCATCCGCCGCCCGATAAGCGTAGATGCCGAAACGCTTGGTGGGATCGCCCACCTTCCTCAGATGAGGCACATCCCGATCCTTCGGCTGCTGTTGCAACAGCTCGCACGTCTCCGGCCAACTGAGTAATCCAGGAGTGACCGTTTGCCTGCCCGCCGGTGCAGCTCCATTCGCGGCGGGAATCGGTGGATAGCCAGTGATTCCAGAGTTCCGGGTCATAATCCAAGCACGCCCATATGTGGCCACTCCAACATGCAACTTGTGGGCACTGATTTGGGATGTCTGGTTCAGCCAATACTGCACCTGGTGCATCACATTGTGGCTGGGATCCCGATCGTACATTTCATACAGTGGAGCGGGTAGATCTGCCTCCTTGGGATCACGTTCCGGGGTCTGGAAGTCATAGGTGCCCAGGTTGACGAAGTCCACATTATTCAGAACAGTGGGAACATCAATGAAAACTGGGAAATGAGATATTTATGAACTGTTTGAATCCAGAAAAAACAATGATATTTTCACATACATTTAGTTAAAGTTATTGTGATGAAAGTTTTAAATGTATAGCAAATTCGAATGGATCCCAATTGAATAAATTAAAGAACTATGATGATATGACTAAGACATAACCTTTTATAGTCGATTTTTCATCAACATCTACATCAGTTTATAGTTTCTTTTGACAACAAGTAGCTATATTTTTATTTAAGAAGTGCTGAGATTAATTTATGGATTGAGATTGATTTCAAAATTATGATGGTTAGAACTATGGTTCTTGAATAAAGTTTTTAGAAGGTTTTTTAGATAAGGTTTTTACGGGAAAGATAAGAAAAGGTAAAGTAGTTTTGTTTTAGGATGTAAGTAACATTTTTTTCAACTTATCATTACTTACGTTCTGCTGAAACATGTGGCAGCATGCTGACAGTCAAGAGCTGACCACTGCCTCGCAAAGCCGATCGTAGTTCTCCAAGAAGGGTGGCGAACTGCTCCTTGTGCTCCTCGGCCTTCTCATCCACCGACTTGGAACTGAAGAGGCCACGAAACGAGCCCCAAACCCGCTTGAATACACCCTGCTGCACTTTGGGTTTGTTTTTGGGGAACTGCCAGGAGAGATCGATTCCATCGAAGCCATGGTTGTTCAGCTCTGCCACAACGCTCGCCTGGAAGCTTTTCCTATGCTCCGGCTGTTCCAGTAATCTCAGGTACTTGCCACTGTCTGCCACGCCCTCGCTGTCCAAATCCTGATCCCCGCCCACTGAGAGAAGGAATCGAACATGTGGGAACTTTTGCCGTAGAGCGGTTATGTGGCGATAGTGTTGGCGGTCATGGGTTAAGGTAGGATTTAAACTCTTGATCTTATAATTCTCGTCATCGATGCCCGCATAACCGTAGACCAAAAAGTTGCAGAAAGTCAAGGCGGGCTCCAATTCGGTCAGTGACATTTGAGCGGGACCTATAAAATAGATAACCCCATGAACTATTTGTCACTCAAAGATTAAAAGATTCTAATACTCACCTTCGCGCACAAAACTCTTGGCATCGTAAAAGCAGACTAGTTTTCCCACTTCTGCAGATATACACTGCAATATAACCAAAAAACTGCAGAGCATTAACCCACTAAATGGGTTTTTTAAGGCTGACATTACGATCAGTTGGACTATTCAGCTCTAAGTTAGATTAACAACTGATCTGGGACGACTTGTTTTGATTAACCAGAGTCAAAGCTTTGTGCAATAAAGCAGAGGAGATAAGAATTCTTTGTGATTAGTGATTAAATTTTCCCGTTTCTATTATGCTATATAAATACTCAAATCATGTCGAAAGAAATATGTAAACAATATACAAACCTAAAAGCTTTTATTATGATGCAGTGTTCAGCTAAATTTATAGATATGTTAGTTATTTGCAATCTAGTCATAATTTAGAAATATAAAATGCAACAAAAAATATTGTTGTTTTTAGATTAAAGGTTGACATAGGTAACTTCAAATTTAATATTAAAAGGATTTAAAAAGGTACAATTTTGTTTAATATATAAATAAATTACAACATCATTACAATACCAAATGTGACTGCTGCACAATTCGAATCCACTTAAATATTAAACCATAAATCTTCATTAAATGAAAAATTTTAAATTCCATTTGGACTGAGTTGCCCTTCAGCTTTTTATATATTTTCCTTTATCCTGGCAAACAAACACCCCAACACACACCCATTAGTGTCTGTCGAAGTAGAGAGGGGATGCGGGGAGAGTGACTTGGGTTATCAAAGTGTCACTTCCACAACTCAATGACAATCCGAAGTCCTGCACTCAGCACCAATTTACCGATTCCCACGAGACAATAATGTTTGTTCATGCTCGTAAAGCTTAAACACATTAAAGCCCTCGACAACGACGACAAAATGATGAGTTGTCACTCCCCAGGAGCAGGCCGCAATAACTGGGGGTCACCACTGGAACATGGCTGTCCCCATGTCCATGTCCATGTCCATGCCCATGTCCATGTCCTTCATCCCCCAGTTGATTAGCAATTTTGCTCACGTGGCGGCAAGGACCAAATGTGTTGACTGCCATGTCATTTGATGGGAATGAAGGGGTCAGGCATCAGTGGTCAATTACTGTTCTTGCCTTGAAAACTTTTTGGGGATAACATTAAACCCGGGCCAAATCAAATTGTTTATGAGTAAATATAAATTCATGGGGAAATTGCCCTTATTACAACCAAATCCTGTTTCTGTTGTTTAAAGAAAGTTTTAGTAACTACTCATATTATCTACTACACTATAAACGTTGCTTATTTTAGTCTTATTATCGCCGAAATAATCAAAATAAAAGAAAACACTAAAAGAAACTCAGCGATTTGAAAAATTAAAAACTTTAACCATTTTTAAAGATATTTCGTTTGATGAAATTTAAAAATACATCACAACACACAAGATTATTATAAATCTATAAAATCATAATGGTATATTTTTGCCAAAGAAGTTTACATAAAAATGGATTTTCTAAAGTACATACAGTAAACAGTTTTGCAAATTTTGAAATGCTTAAACTGTAAACTGTAGTTTTTACCTTGGAAAACGTTCAACGAGCCTAAGTGTGCAACTAAAGAGGGGCAACAAAAATGGTTTAGCCACCTGCGAAAAAAGCAGAAAATGAAACTTAAGTTTATGCATAACGCCGCAGTTGGTTGTATCATAAAACCAAATGGTGAGAGCTATAAAACTAACCACAGCAAAAACAAGAAAGGAAAGCTAACTTCGGGCGGAGCCGAAGTTAATATACCCTTGCAGAATATTCTATAAATTATATTCTCCAAAATTATTCATATGATGCATTCTTAATACTCATAAAAAGTCCCAACTTCCTAACTTTAAAAACACCAAAGTTATGTCATTTCCAATCGTTCAGTTATATGGCAGATATAAGATATAGTCGGCCGATCCTTATAAAATTTGGTAGGTCGGATTGATTGGCCAAAAATAAAACCCATAGAAAATCCCAACTTCCTAACTTTACAAACACCAAAGCTATGGCATTTCCGATCAATCAGTTATATGGCGGCTATAGGATATAGTCGTCCGATCCTTATGAAATTTGGCAGGTCGGATTGATTATCCAAAAATAAAACCCATAGCAAATCCCAACTTCCTAACTTTAAAAACACCAAAGTTATGGCTTTTCCGATCGTTCAGTTATATGGCAGCTATATGATATAGTGGCCCGATCCGGCTCGTTCCGACTTATATACTACCTGCAATAGAAAGACAACTTTTGGGAAAGTTTCAAGCAGATAGCTTTAAAACTGAGGGACTAGTTTGCGTAGAAACGGACGGACAGACGGACAGACGGACAGACGGACAGACGGACGGACAGACGGACGGACAGACGGACAGACGGACATGGCTAGATCGACTCTCCTGGTGATGCTGATCAAGAATATATATACTTTATAGGGTCGCAAATGTCTCCTTCACTGCGTTGCAAACTTTTGACTGAAATTATAATACCCTCTGCAAGGGTATAAAAAGGACAATAAAGGAAGCAAACGGTGGGGAAAAGCCAACAGGAATCAACAGAATGTAACCGCAAGCACGGACGCTTGGGCAATCAACTAACAGAATGCACACATGTTCGGGAACACTGCTTTCTATTACTCCATACCCTCCCCCATGGTTATTGCCACACCCACTTCAGAGGCGTACGAAAGGAACTGTAATAAAACGTAATAAGCTATTTTTTAATAATATAATTATAGTTTTTAAATACAATACAATACATTTGGGAAATATTGCTAGTAGCACATATTCATTCATTGAATTTGTTTTATTAAAAAAAAAAAACAAAAAACTATTCTTTATTTACTTATTTCGAAGCATTTCACAACCGTACATAAAAATTTACAAATACAGATATTTTTTAAGCCCCCCTTTAAGCCTCCTCAATAAAATCCTGCTACGCCACTGACCCAGAACTTTTGCCACAGGTTGACAGTAAACTAATAGGTGAGCAGCTGCCGAGAAAGCCATTATATTCCAACCGAGTGGTAGAGTGTTGCAATTATACATAAATATAAGTGCGCATTGAAAAAATGATAATGTTGTCAAATGAGGTTGAACAGAATATGATAAATATACATATTTAAACTTTATTTCTCACAAAACGTGACATTAAATTATTTAAACCATTTAAAACGTAACAATTCTCTTTAGGTTATATTACGTATACGCATCGTATACATTTGATTGTATCCATTTAAACAGGGAAAACAAGGGTTTTTAATAACTTTGATTCTTACATTTTAGTAATTATTTATTATATTTATATGATTTTTCTTCTAAAAGTTTTTTTTATTGTTTTGCCTTTTTGTAGGTCAATCAAAAGCTAAGCTATTTGCCAAAACAAAAGCCAAAGTACTAATTTATATATATTTATTTAACTTTTCCTTCGAAAACCCAGTAACTTCCTGACTTTTGAAGAGAAACAATAACGACCATCCCTTAAGTACTCCATCATACTCAAAGCTTCAGCCGGATTGAAGTTCCTGTTTTATTTCAATTTATAGGGCGTAAACATGACCACTTGAGACCTCTGACATGCCGCTCCTTAACACCACTCGAGTTTTCCGATTGAAACATTTGGCCAACGGGTAGCGCTTTAATGGTGCCACAAAACCAGCACTTGGCCGTTTTTAATTCCTGAATACCCTCTCGACTGGATGATTAACTTTTTCGAGAGACATGTGGCAGCTGTCGCTGCCCGCACCGCAGCGTAATTAAATTGTTAACGCACACGTGTCGGCTGTCCTTCTATCGAGGCGTACAATTCCACGTATAACGTATACGTATACGTACACATGTACATACGTTCATCTGGATGAAGTTCATTTATCCGTAAGGCCATCTACGTTGACAAATGTGGAAAAAAACAACAACAGCATTTAGCACACGCGGCACTAATCCGGTGTGAGTGGATGCTGGATGACTGAGTTAAACCCTTTCTCCTTTCACCTTTCTCCTCCTCGAAAACCACTGAGCCACCCCAAAAACGCCGACAATAGCCTCAAGCTCCACGAAACACCCAAAAAACTCATTTTGCATGGAGCTTGGCTGGTGGTTTTTAATGCTTCATTGGCTTAATTGCCAGCCATGTGCAAAACACATACACTGAGAAAAAGGCTTTCAAATAAAGAGTCATTAAATATAAAAAAACGTTTAATTTTTTTTTATTAGTAATTAGTCCAGGAACAACAGTGACCTAATTAATAAAAAACATTCAAACTGATAATTTAAATATTATAAATACTCATTTATTATCAGAAAAAATATTTATATTATTTTTTTCAATGCAATATATTTTTATTCAAGCCAATAAATTCAATCAAATCACACAGAATTTTAAATGAATAAGTACATTTTGTTTTTAGACAGTTCATCTAAAAATTGTAAATCAGTGATTTTTTTTTCAGTGCACCAATGCACGGGCAGACTTACTTATAAACAGCATCAAACAGACACACCTACGGCAACTTTTGCGTGCAAAGTTAATTCGACCACAAACACGTTCATTTACCTTTGGCGAGCACACAGACTCTCAAATGCCAAAAAAACACAAGGAGCAAGTTAAATTCCAGCTCGGGAAATTCTGCTCATGTTTTTAAAAGCTTTTCTAACTAAACTTTTAAAGTTTTAAATGATTTTGTTCAGTATTTTAAACATACATTTTTATTTTGGCAAGTTGTTTTGTTTAGAACTTATTCTTTGTACATACAGCAAATAATCCAAAACAAAACTTTACGTTGCAAATTTATTTTAGATTTTTACATTATACAAATGCTTTATACAAAAAGGTACGAATTTGGAAAAATTTTTAATTACTTTTTTTATAAAAGTTTTTTTGACTAATTCCAAATACCAAATTAAGAATAAAACCAATTTATTTTCGAGTTTTTTATTGTATTAGCAACTTAGATTTCACATTTTAAGAGCAAGAATTAAATCAAATAGGTTCAAAATCGTAAACATTTGTTTACTTAGTCGCCTCCCAATCACAGACAAAGATTTCTTCAGAGCTATAATGAACGGGATAGAAGGCTGTTAAAATCAAGTTATGACGCATTTTTTTTTTATATTCCAAATGCCATGAATTAATTGATAAAGTGCGCAATTCGCTAATCAATCCGACTTGGCGGGGCTATAAAAGAGACCAGTTAGAATCGATTGGCAAATTAGTCGTTGAAAACACTCACAATATGAAGCTGCTCTCGATTGCCTTTCTTTTGGGTCTGCTGGCTCTGGCCAGTGGTAAGTGGAAGGATATACTATATAATCCGGACTGAATACTGAGTGAAGCCTTTGTTTTGTTTCCAGCCAATCCCCTGAATCCCGGCAATGTCATCATCAACGGCGACTGCAAAGTTTGCAATGTTCGCGGCGATTAAAAGCTTATTTGCTCAATTGCGGAAAAATATGAAATAAAATAAAGTCAGTGAAACTCTTAAATGTATTTACATGTCTTTTATTAACGAAATGGTGTATGAATGTGATTTAACAGAAATTCCTGCAAATTTTAAATGCTGTGAAAAAATGTTGGCTTACTCAAATAGTCCCCAAAAAAGTATATTTAAAAAATGTCTATTCAATTATGTTTTTAAAAGAATAGGAGGTATTTTTTTAAATTGAAAATTAAACCTAATACTTTTCTCATCAAAGCTTTTTAAACTAAAACAAAATTATAACACCCTCTGCAAGAGTATAAAAAAACAACAATATTTATATGCCAAGAACTTTTACTTTCTTTATATGTGGTTTACAAAACGTAAAGGTTTTTTATCGACTCCAGACTAGCCTCCATGAACGTTACATTTGCGGCAATCTCCTCCATTGATAATAACGTTGCCCGGAATCAAAGGCGATGCTGTGAAAATAAGAATAATAAAATGAATTTCAAATTTATGGGCAAGGATTTAAGGATCAAAGGATAACTTACCACTCGCCATGGCCAATAGACCAAAGACAAAAACTAAGGATATCCACTTCATTTTATTGGAAAAGCTTCAAAGTAAACTGATGCAGGTTTATTTTCTCATCTTACTTTTATAAGAAATGCTGGTGTATCTACTCGAGTTCGAGCACTCAAAGTTATGTAATTACTGGAAAAGCCCAAGAAATAAAATAATTCCCGTTTATAAGCCGATTCTATAATACACAATTGCTAGACAAAACCTGGCGCTAATCAAGTCAATAATCGCTTTAAGTACATGTTTACATGTATAATTAACTCAAGTGGAAAATACAAATCGTACTGCGACTGTTCTACATACAAAGTAAATAATTTCGGATAATTATTTAGAGATTAATTACCTTTATTTAAATAATTCTACGAAAATATTTATCCTATAAAACAACATTTATGTGGTTTTTTAGATCATATTTAAATCTGCATTAAGTAGTGTGTTATTACAAACAAGAAAGAAAAGCTAACTTCGGGCGGAGCCGAAGTTGATATACCCTTGCAGAATACTCTGTAAATTATATTCTCCAAAATTATTCATATGATGCATTCTTAATACTCATAAAAAATCCCAACTTCCTAACTTTAAAAACACCAAAGTTATGGCATTTCCAATCGTTCAGTTATATGGCAGCTATAGGATATAGTCGGCCGATCCTTATGAAATTTAATAGGTCGGATTGATTGGCCAAAAATAAGACCCATGGAAAATCCCAACTTCCTAACTTAACAAACACTAAAGTTTTGGCATTTCCGATTAATCAGTTATATAGCGGCTATAGGATATAGTCGTCCGATTCTTATGAAATTTGGTAGGTCGAATTGATTGGCCAAATATAAAACCCATGGAAAATCCCAACTTCCTAACTTTACAAACACGAAAGTTATGGCATTTCCGATCAATCAGTTATATGGCAGCTATAGGATATAGTCGTCCGATTTTTTAATAATATAATTATAGTTTTTAAATACAATAAAATACATTTGGGAAATATTGCTAGTAGCACATATTAAATTTTTTTTTTAATAAAAAAAATATTCTTCCTTTACTCATTTCGAAGTATTTTACAATAGTTCATATTTAATAATACAAACATTTCTTTAAGCCCCCCTTAAGCCTTCTCAATGAAATCCTGCTGCGCCACTGACCCAGAACTTTTGCCACAGGTTGACAGTAAACTAATAGGTGAGCAGCTGCCGAGAAAGCCATTATATTCCAACCGAGTGGTAGAGTGTTGCAATTATACATAAATATAAGTGCGCATTGAAAAAATGATAATGTTGTCAAATGAGGTTGAACAGAACATGATAAATATACATATTTAAACTTTATTTCTCACAAAACGTGACATTAAATTATTTAAACCATTTAAAACGTAACAATTCTCTTTAGGTTATATTACGTATACGCATCGTATGCATTTAATTGTATCCATTTAAACAGGGGAAACAAAAGTTTTTAATAACTTTGATTCTTACATTTTAGTAATTATTTATTATATTTATATGATTTTTCTTCTAAAAGTTTTTTTTATTGTTTTGCCTTTTTGTAGGTCAATCAAAAGCTAAGCTATTTGCCAAAACAAAAGCCAAAGTGCTAATTTATATATATTTGTCGTATTGTATCTGTCGCTGCCCGCACCGCAGCGTAATTAAATTGTTAACGCACACGTGTCGGCTGTCCTTCTATCGAGGCGTACAATTCCACGTATAACGTATACGTATACGTACATGTGTACATACGTTCATCTGGATGAAGTTCATTTATCCGTAAGGCCATCTACGTTGACAAATGTGGAAAAAACAACAACAGCATTTAGCACACGCGGCACTAATCCGGTGTGAGTGGAAGCTGGATGACTGAGTTAAACCCTTTCTCCTTTCACCTTTCTCCTCCTCGAAAACCACCGAGCCACCCCAAAAACGCCGACAATAGCCTCAAGCTCCACGAAACACCCAAAAAACTCATTTTGCATGGAGCTTGGCTGGTGGTTTTTAATGCTTCATTGGCTTAATTGCCATCCATGTGCAAAACACATGCACAGTGAAAAATACTTTCAAATAAAGAAAAATAAGTGCCATAATATAATTATACCCTTTCAGAGGGTATTATAATTTTGTTTTTTTTTTAAATTAGTAATTAGTCCAGGAACAACAGTGACCTAATTAATAAAAAACAGTCAAACTGATAATTTAAATATTATAAATACTCATTCATTATCAGAAAAAATATTTGTATTATTTTTTTCAATGCAATACATTTTTTTTTTTAAGCCAATAAATTTAATCAAATCACACAGAATTTTAGACAGTTAAGCTAAAAATGGTAAAACAGTAATTTTTTTTCAGTGCACCGATGCACGGGCAGACTTACTTATAAACAGCATCAAACAGACACACCTACGGCAACTTTTGCGTGGAAAGTTAATTCGACTACAAACACGTTCATTTACCTTTGGCGAGCACCTAGACTCTCAAATGCCAAAAAAACACAAGGAACAAGTTAAATTCCAGTTCGGGAAATTCTGCTCATGTTTTTAAAAGCTTTTCTGTTAATGCTGAAATCGAGCCGATACCAAATATAATTAAGAACGCCAAATTTACGTGCGCACACGACAAACGTATTTTATTGAGTAAGAGATACGAAGCATTAACAAGCAAGAGGAAAAGGAAGGAAGAATAAGAATAAGAAAAATACTATCGCTTAGAGATGTGCAAATAGAACGATATAACTTGTAAACTTCAACACTTCTTCTCAAGTTAGATTGTTCCTTACAATTTTTCATTTAAGCCAAGCGATTTTACAAAATTATTATGCTTTTCTTTCTGTAAGTTTTTAGTAAAGATGTCTGCTACATTTTCGTTGGTGGGAACATATTTTATAAAAACTTCTCCTCTAGCAATAACCTCGCGAACATGATACTTGATGTCAATATGCTTGGTCCTTTTGTGATGCACAGGATTCGATGTAATCTGCTGTGCGCTTAAGTTGTCGCCGTTTATCTCGATGGGCTCTGCGTTCGGATGAAATGCTATTTCTTCTAGTAGACGACGCAGGTAGATTGCTTCTCTGGATGCAGTGGACAAAGCAATGTATTCAGCCTCAGTGCTGCTGAGCGCGACTAATCCTTGCTTTTTGGATTCCCAGGAGAAAGCTGATCCACCCAGGTAAAAACAGTACCCAGAGTACGATTTTCTATCCAGACTATCGTTTGCCCAGTCTGCATCGACAAACGCATGCAATCGTTGACCAGTCTTGCGATAGTGTAGCTTTAAGTCGATAGTCTTCGACAGATATCGCAAAATGTGTTTTGCGCCAGACTCATGCTCGACATGTGGGTTGGAGTTTCGCTGTGCTAACTTGCTTATAGAGTGCATGATGTCAGGACGCGTTGAAATAGCCAAGTACATTATAGATCCAATCAGTGACTGATAGTCAGTTGTATCTACTTCGGCACAGTTGTCACTATCGCAGCGAATTTGAAATCCAGGGTTTAACGGCGTTGAAACAGATCGACACTGATTCATGTTGTACTTCTCAAGTAGACATTTAATGTACTGCTTCTGACACACAGAAATTGTACCACGCTCACCCTGTCGCTGTATTTCCATTCCAAGAAAGTGATGCAATGGACCATTGTCATGAATATCAAAACTATCGTGCAACTTCTTTTTGATATCATCCAGATCACTCCTTTTTGAACAAGCTATTATAATGTCATCGACGTATATGGCTATCAAATTGTACGAATTCTGACTTATTTTCTTATACAGACACGGCTCGCTTTTAGTAGCCTCAAAACCCAATCCTTTTAAAGTGACATCCAGTGTGCTATTCCAGGCCCTGCCAGATTGTTTGAGGCCATATATAGCTTTGTTAAGCTTTAACACGCGGTTTGGATGTTGATCGCTGACGAAATTCTCTGGCTGCTTCATATATACTATTTCGTTCAATTTACTGTTCAAATATGCATTTGAAACATCCATTTGATGAAGATACAGCTCCTTTTCTGCTGCTACTGCCAACAAAAGCCTTATATTCTCATATCGAATGACGGGTGAAAAGGTTTCGTAGTAATTTATTCCATATTGCTGGCTGCACCCCTTGGCTACAAGTCTGCTCTTAAACCTTATGATATTTCCTTCAACATCTCGCTTAACTCGGAAAACCCACATGGATCCTATAGCTTTTGCACCTGAAGGAAGGTCTACCAAAGACCAAGTCTTGTTTTCGATAAGGGCCTCATATTCACGTTTCATAGAATTTTGCCACTTAGACGAATGTTTGCCCGTTAGTGCCTGTTTTACTGTGTCGGGCGTCTCAATGTCATGATAGCTTACAATATTGTTGACCATATTGTACTCTTTTCTTGGCCTACCTCGCTGGCCAGTGCGTATAATTTTGGGCCTACCTGGACCACGGTGAGCACGTACACCATCAACGGGGCTGCTTGGTGGACTGGCATTATCTTCTTTAAAACTCTCGAACTCGTCGTCATCAGAGTCTGGATACTCGCCCTCTGGAACTGAGTTCTCCGAGTTGACTTCTTCTGGAGCTGCTTGTGCTATTTCGCCCTCTGCTGCACCGACTTCTTCTGAAGCTGCTTCTTCTCCAACTTCGCCCTCTGCTGCACCGACTTCTTCTGAATCGGTTGCGGCTTGATAGCTTCCTGCGCTAACCCAATCAGCTTTTTGTGGAAACTCTGTGATAAATGAAGTAAAATCGTTAGTGCTTGCCTGATGATTAACCGATACTACTTCGCCTTCAACAAATTTGACGTCTCGTTTTTCAACGATTTGTCGAGCCTCTTTGTCGAATAGTCGATATGCCTTGGCGGTGAGCGAGTAGCCGACGAACGTGTACTCCTTGCCCTTAGCCCGAAACTTGTGGTGATGCATCTTATCCAGAGCATATACGGGTGAACCAAAAATCCGTAGATGCGCGACCGAAGGCTTTTTGCCGCTCCACTTTTCCATAGGGGTGATCCCGTCAAGCGCCTGCGATGGAGATCTATTTCGTAAGTAGCTTGCCGTTGCAACAGCTTCTGCCCACAATGGCTCCTCAATGTTTTTGTGCAGCATCATACTGCGCGCCATTTCAACGAGCGTTCTATTCGCTCTTTCGGCCACACCGTTTTGTTGCGGGGTGTATGGCACGGTTAATTGTCTTTTAATTCCACACTCCCGCAGATATTCGTCGAACTTGTGATTTATATACTCCCTGCCATTGTCACTGCGAATCGCTTTAATTCGCTTTTGTGTTTGATTTTCCACTAACTGTTTGAACATTTGGAACTTTTCAAATGCCTGATCCTTGGTTTGCATAAAGTAAACAAACACTCGCTTTGAAAAATCATCTATAAATGTTATAAAGTACTTTGCGCCACTTATCGACTTCACATTTATTGGTCCGCACACGTCCGTATGAACTAGTTCCAAAATGTTATTTGCTCGCGCATCACTCTTTTTAGGGAATGGCAAAACACAAATCTTGGATTTGTTGCAGGTGTTGCAATTTATTTCAACCGGAATGTTATTTACGTCAATGCCTTTTACACGTTGATTGACAATCAGTTCCTTAAGGCTTCGAAAATTTAGGTGACCATATCGATTATGCCACACGACTGCCTTTTGTTGCATTGAAAATAATCGGTTCACGTTTAAGTCACTAAACAAAAATAAATTGTTTTGCAGTTGCGCCCTTAATATAGCAACTCCATCTTTTGCCGTTACTATCGCGCGATTTTCTTTAAAATACACGGAATGCCCATACTGCATTGCTTTGCTTACGGAAAAGAAATTCATTTGTAAATCTGGCACGTACAATACGTCTTGCAATGTTATTTCACAATCGCTGGTTTTTATTTTGATGTTTCCTTTGCCAGGCGATTCAATTATTTTGTCTGCTGCTAACATAACTTTGTCTTTTTCTTCGACAAACGAAACAAACGCACTTTTCACACAGCACATATGAGAAGTTGCCCCACTGTCCAGGCACCAAGTCTGTTTTGTTATGTTCTCCTGGTTCACAGCAGCAAAAACCGAAAACGATAATCTCTCATTGCTTCTCTCTTCGCTTTGAAATTTGCCTTTATCCTTTCTTCCTCTTTCTTTACACTGCGTCGCTTTGTGACCACGTTTGCCACACACGAAACATTTTCCGTTAAATTTACCGTTTTCTTTTGCATGTGCGTTTTGTTTTTCGCTTCCCGATCCAGCATAATATGCGTGTTGCTTGCTGTCCTTCTCATTTTTCTCGTTCATTCTTTCGGCCTCTGCCAAAAGTTTGACCTTGAGTGATTCAAAGAGCGGTAGCGAATCTCTTGTTTCCATAGCAACAACAAAATGTTCATACTCTGCACTTAAACTTGACATTAGAATTATCACTTTTAATTCCTCGGGTACTTCGACGTTCACTTCGATCAATTTGTCAATTATTTCCACGAAATTGTTCAAGTATTGGACCATGCTTTGATCTGCCGAGTATTTCGAATTTAACAGTTTTTTAAACAACAGCACTTTTCGAAGTGGTCCTCTTGACACATACACCTCGCGCAACTTGGCCCATGCTGCTAGCGCTGAGGTTGCATTTTTTACATAACTTAACTGCGACACATTCACATTAAGAATTATGCATGCCAATGCCTTTTCGTCCATTAAGTTCCATTTGACAGCTTCCTCGGATGTTGACTCGTTAGTCAACTTCAGCTTGCCACTAACGATGCTCCAAAGTTCTTGGTGTACCAGAACACTTCGCATCTGAACACTCCACACATCGTAATTCTGATCACTTAACTTTTCTATTTGATACGCACTCATCTTAGTTTCGCGAGTCTGGGCCCATAACCAATGTTAATGCTGAAATCGAGCCGATACCAAATATAATTAAGAACGCCAAATTTACGTGCGCACACGACAAACGTATTTTATTGAGTAAGAGATAAGAAGCATTAACAAGCAAGAGGAAAAGGAAGGAAGAATAAGAATAAGAAAAATACTATCGCTTAGAGATGTGCAAATAGAACGATATAACTTGTAAACTTCAACATTTTCCAACTAAAGTTAAAGTTTTAAATGATTTTGTTCAGTATTTTAAACTTACATTTTTATTTTTGCAAGTTGTTTTGTCTAGAACCTTTTCATTGTACATACAGTAATGAATCCAAAACAAAACTTTAGGTTACAAATTTATTTTAAATTTTTACATTATGCAAATGCTTTAGTCAAATAGGTAAAAATTCACAAAAATTGATTTTAGGACAAAATTCAGAATAAAACCAAAATGTAGGAATTTATTTTTGATTTGTATTTTGTGTTAACAACCTAGATTTCAAATTTTAAGGGCAAGAAAACAATCAAATTGGTTCGAAATCGTTAAAATTTGTTTACTTAGTCGCCAATCACAGACAAAGATCTCTTCAGAGTTATAATGAACGGGATAGGAGGCTGTTAAAATCAAGTTATGACGCATTTTTTTGTATATTCCAAATGCCATGAATTAATTGATAAAGTGCGCAATTCGCTAATCAATCCGACTTGGCGGGGCTATAAAAGAGACCTGTTCGAACCGATTGGCAAATTAGTCGTCGAAAACACTCAAAATATGAAGCTGCTCTCGATTGCCTTTCTTTTGGGTCTGCTGGCTCTGGCCAGTGGTAAGTGAAAGGATATACTGTATAATGCGGACTGAATACTGAGTGAAGCCTTTGTTTTGTTTCCAGCCAATCCCCTGAATCCCGGCAATGTCATCATCAACGGCGACTGCAGAGTTTGCAATGTTCGAGGCGATTAAAAGCTTATTTGCTTAATTGCGGAAAAATATGAAATAAAATAAAGTCAGTGAAACTCTTAAATGTATTTACATGTCTTTTATTAACGAAATGGTGTATGAATGTGATTTACCAGAAATTCCTGCAAATTTGAAATACTGTGAAAAAATGTTGCCTTACTCCAATAGTCCCAAAAAAAGGATAGTTTAAAAAATCTCTTTTTAAAAGAATAGGAGGTATTTTTTAAATTAAAAATTAAAGAGATTCTGCATGTTACTTTTGAAAACCAAACAAAGTACTTCCCTCATTAAATGTGTATTATACACAGCTTTTTAAGCTAAAAAACAACAACAATACACACTTTTTACCAAAATTATAATACCCTCTGCAAGGGTATAAAAATATCGAACATGGAATTAAAAAATTATATATTTCATGTAATTAAATAAAGAGTTTCATTTTCAAATCATGAAATCATTTTACTTTTTCCCAACATAAACAAATTAGACGCTAATAATTGAAACAAATCCACTTAATCTTCAAAAACATTGTTTTATTTAGAGATTGATTACACATTCATCATATTAAATAAATGATATAAAATTCCAAAGGTCATTGCTCCAGATGCGAGAGAGTACGACATAGAACCACCGGTCATATGATCAGGGGGCATTATAATGTTATCATCGTTATCGGGCTTATTGCAGTCGATGCACTTTCCATTAATATACACTTTGCCCGGTGTGGCTGCAAATACAAAATTTGTAATCTCCAAATATATACAATATTAATAGCTATAACAATTACCATTAACCGCAACCAGCAGGCAAAAAAACAGCATCAAAGCTCCGGCGATTTTCATGTTTGACATTGGGACTACGAATAATTCTGAACGCGAATGCGCGAGTGCTCTGCTCTTTATATGGGATCAGTATATAGCATTGTTCAAATTTAGCGGGGCTTTACAGTAAAATCCCAAGGAAAGGAACTAATCGAGCCAGTCTTATTTGTTTGACCTATTTGACTCATTTGCTTAAAAATTGTCATATATTAAACCATAATGTAAAGTATAATTCTTTAAAATGTATTTAATTAGTATTACCTCAATCAAAAATGTAAATTATCTAATACACACTGTGTAAAAGGAGCAAAATTACTTTATTTTAAACAATTCAATTTATATTTACATGCTTGTGTACGTAAACAAACGCATTTAATCGCCAGCGTTTGGAAAAACCCAAGAATTTATGAGTATAGAAAAAAACAAGAGAGAACGCTATAGTCGGGTGCCCCGACTATCAGATACCCGTTACTCAGGTAAAGGGAGTGCGAGGGAGATGGAGATAGAAACTTTGATCACGCATAACTTTTTAACGAATGGTCCGATTTGGAAAATTTCTTCTACATTTCGATAGGTATTGATAAACACAATAAAACTGCATTTTTACTTTTCCGAAATATTTAAATTTTTAAAATCGTATATTAGCGATTGTGGGCGTTAAAGGGGGCGTGGCACCCTTTTGAAATAAACTTGCGCTGCGTAGGAACTCCTAGAATCTGCATGCAAAATGCCAATCTTCTAGCTTTTATAGTTTCCGAGATCTCAGCGTTCATACGGACGGACAGACGGACAGACGGACATGGCTAGATCGACTCGGCTAGTGATCCTGAACAAGAATATATATACTTTATAGGGTCGGAAACGCTTCCTTCTACCTGTTACATACTTTTGCACGAATACAATATACCCTTTTACTCTACGAGTAACGGGTATAAAAAGGGTTTCGATCCAAATACAATTCTAAAGTTATTTTTTAAAAGTAACAAAAAAATAAATTTGTATTAAAATTTTTATTTATTTGGTATTATATCAAAAGATATCTTCATTTTATTTATTGGAAAAATTTAACATTCTGATATTGCCAGCAATATACACTAAAAACTAAATACAAGGTATTCAAAAATATATTGCAAAAAAAATTAAATTTTCAGGGACTTACAGAAATCTTTTTCAAGAAAATTTCCAACCGAAACTTTGCAAAATTTTAAAAATTCGGTTAGAAACAAGTTTGTCAAAGATTTTGGTAGCACCCCAGAATAATAAGGTATTTTTAATCGTCTCGAAATCAAACCATTTTTGACTTTGTTTTTGTTTGTTGTTTTCCCTTATCAATTACAAATTTAAAACTTGAATTTAATTTGCAAAAGGTTTTTGTAACCCCCCATTTTAAAAAGGGTATTTGTAATCGACTAAAGGTCAAATATTTTCTATTTTTGGTGTTGCTATTATCTAGGTTGTTTCCCTCGTCAATTCCACATATGTTCCCCAATGAAAATATATATTTTGTTTACTTTGAATATTTTTTTAATTGAAGTGTTTTTTTCTTTGAATTTGTATTACATTTTTGTGTGACTTAAATATATGTGGCTGTGTGAACTCCAACTGGCTTGTCTCGATTCCTCCATCTCAGCTGCTCTTAGGCCCTCACATTGCAGACGCGACAGTCGCCGTTGATGATGACATTGCCAGGATTCAGGGGAGTGGCTGAGGACACTAAAGGATTGAAATAAGAATTAAATGACAGATATTGTTTAGTAAATATATAGTTTAGTTTACTCACCATTGGCCAGAGCCAGCAGACCCAAAACAAAGGCAAGCGACAGGAACTTCATGTTGTTGATTTTGTGGTTTGTTTTTGCGGTTGACTCGAGAGGATTTGCCAGTGAGAACTGATGCCGAAAAGTGAATACACCAGTGTTTATATAGCCGTACAACTGAGCTCAATAGACCTAGAACGATCTGCCTTATCAAGCTGGATTTACATTGACACTGGGAAAACTCTGGCAGAGATTGGGATTCTCCCAGACGTAAAATTCCCCGAGTGCAGTAGTACGACGTTCTCAATGAAATTGAGCGTAAACAAGTGCAGACTGATGGCCACGGGGCGCGAGATTGGAAAAGGGAAATCCAAGCTGGTCCAGAGCGAGATTCTGTTCACGTGCGGTTCGCAGATTGCAAACCTGATTTCGTTTGACTGACTTGCGCCCCTGCAACGTATTTCCAAGTATTTCGACCCGTTCTACACGTTCAATTCCGTCGAATCAATAAACGTCTAAATTAACACCCAGGTTTTTAGCAAGAATTGCGCCAAAAGGTTTAACCAAGTTGGTTACAAAAGTCTGGCCCCTCTGAGGTTGCCACAAATGCTTTTAAGGTATAAATAATAGTTGTTTAAAAAGCTTAGAACAACAGCTTGCATTAATAATGATCATTGTAAATTCATTTTGGAAATTATATTATTTTTGATCGCCCTAAGGCTAAAAGGCTTATTGATTTCTTGTCATCTACTTATGAAATAAAATGCTTGCCCTTAAAAAAATATATATTCTTATATTCAAAAAGTTGTATAATTAAAATTTTATAAAAGACTTGAAAATTGTTTAATAAAAAAAAATGGTTTAAAACAACAATGTGGTTTGTGAATCAATTTGAATAAATTCAGTTTTTCTTAAACTAAATTGTTAAGCAGAAACTTTTTGAATTTAATATATCTGCTTATAAAATATTTTGGTGTTTTGTTGATAATTGCTACCACTAATATTTGTAAATAAAAAATATTAAAAATTAAATTTTATTTGTCAATGTAGAGTATCAAAAAGGAAAGAAAAACAAGGAAACAGATTTGTCGAAGTTGTAATATAATTATTCTTTATCAGCTTGTCTGTCACTTTTTATGTAATCTCTCATCTGCTCCTACGCTGGATTCAACGGTTCAGATGCGCAATATATTAAAATTAAACTAAACAAAAACAATTTAGAAAAAATACAGTAAATACAATTTAACAAATTTAAAAATCCCTAAATAACTTTGACTATTCTAATAATATTAAAAATAATAAGTTATAAATTGTGTTCTAATAAAACAATCAAATCAATTGATTATATTTCTTAACTTTTATGTTGTACTCTTTTTTTTTTTTTGAAAATACATTTCAATACAAAATACAATTTTAATTTTTAAATCGCTGATATATAGGAAAGCAAAATAAAAAGCAAAATTCCTGAGTAAAGACAATAAAAACAGTGCTGAAGAAGTCACTGAAGTCATACTGCTTGTCCTAAGAATTCAAAGTTTTTGAATTTATCAAAAAACCTAGAAGTTTTAATCTTGAGTTGGCGAATCCGCTTAATAAAATATAAACAAAATAGGTAGGTTTTTTCATTTTTATTTTTTGTGTCTAAATTCTAAGTCTCATTTTAGTACAAAGCGGTAACATAAATATAGTGTCTTGGGTGTGAGGTAAGTTATGGCCTTGTGTCGATCCTCAGGCAAGAACATTCCTACTTGCCGCCGTGAACGTTGCAGTATTTGCAGTCCCCGTTGATGACCACATTTCCTGGATCGGGTGACAGGGGAACAGCTGAGGGAAAAATAATGTATTAGTTAAATAATATAGAGTGGCAAATAAGAAGGATTTACTCACCATTGGCAAGAGCCAGCAGACCCAACACGAAGACGGTGACGACTGAGAAGAATTTCATATTGATTTTGGATTTGTGGTTCCGGTTTTTGGATGCTAAATGCGCTGGACAATTGATTGGCTTGAACTGATGCTCTCGGCTGGTGGGACCTGATCTTATATAGCTGAGAGTCGGATCGTAGAACGAGTCAAGTGCAATAGGCAGTCAGTCGACGGAGGTTTCTGATAACCCCGAGCGTTTGGGAAAACACAGAAAGTTAAGCCTTCTCCGCTATAGACCGTTCAATAGCTTTTTGCTTTTGCGTATTGAAATCTGGAAATTCCAGTCCAGTGTTTACGTTCAAGCAAGTAAAAGTTTTCTCTAAGCCACCAGGTAAAGCTCAAATTCAAGTGAAAAAGTTTACATAAAGTCTACACAATATCAAAATACTTCTAGTTCAAAGTGATATGTATCTCAAACTTTTCCTAAAACCCCATATGTTTTAGATTTTTGTTTACAAATAAATATGGTTCTTATTTATCTACCATTTTGAGTTAAAATTCAAGTTAAAATTTTTTAGATGTCTACCTAATGTTTAAATACTTATAGTTCAATATAATATTTATTTCAAACTTTTTCTAAAACCCCATATATTTTATATTTTTGTTTACAAATAAATATTGTTTTTATTTGCCTCTTATATTTGCATAAAAAACTTGCACTAATAAAAGCAAACAATGGGGCATAACAATCAATATATGCATACATTTTGGTAGAACAAAATGTGTATCGACGAATTAAAACCTGTTAATTATATTTTAATTCCAAATTCAACACGTGTTGCAAATTCTAAATTAACAGTTACCATATACACTTAAAATATTATTGCAATAAATTAATACAGTGAAAAAAAGTCAATTAGTCTTATGAACATTTTTTTTTTACAAAAAAAACTTCCAAAATAATTAAGTTTTATTTTTTTTGTGATACACTTGATGTGAAATATTAGTTTAAATTTAATTGAAGTTTGCTGTTAATCAAATTCAACTATCTTGATATTCATAGCTTCTCAGTAAGTTATGATTAATGATTATATACATTATATATTATAATACATTGCTAATTCTTTGAGAAGGTTCTGCAATTAGTTTTAGAAAGACCATTGTTCCCATAACTAAGAAAAATATTTGTATATACCACATTTTATGTTTTAGACATTATTTAATTATTATTAATTAAAAAAGAAAAATATTTAAGGTGGTTAAAAAAAATAGTGGAAAAGGATATGAGTATTGGAGATTGGGAATCACAGCATGGATTTTTTTTAAGATACATTTAATTCTATTAACAATAATTGTCGGGTCTTTTATCTTCAACACTTTACACATTACGGGAAAATGTTTTCGTCAGTCCCTAGAATGTAGATTATAAATAAGTAATCTATATGTTAAAACAGCATCAGTTTCATTCCATTTTCTATTCCGGTAACAGTCAATAGTTCAGCTTTGTCTCAAAATAAAGTAAAACATCATGCCCTTACCTATACTTAATTGCAGCCTTGAGCGGTTTTATATTTATGTATATACATTATATGTAGATTACAGATCAGAGCTAATCGGGTCGGGTATAAAAGAAGGTGCCTGTGATCGAGCGGTTTAGAGAGCCGCATAATGAAGTGCCTGACGCTATTGGCGCTTTTGTTCTTGGCCACTTTGGCCTTCGTTCAAGGTCAGTTTAGAACTTTAGTGGCATTTCCCAGTATAATCTTCGTTCCACCCACAGCCGGAAAGGTCACCATCAACGGAAAGTGTGTGGACTGTTCGAATGACCATACCACCACCACCACCACCCACAAACCTTTAAGAGGCAGGGGAAATGGTGGCAAGACCACTGCAAGACCCAGGCCCAAATCAACTCCGACCCACAGACGACCTTCGTCGGATGAGGACGACAATGAACTGGACGGCTGGTCACTTCATCAGTCCGCTGGAGGATCTCAGCATATAGCCAGGCGATCCAAGCGCCAATGGGGCGGTGGTCAGTACATCGATCTGGGTGGATCTGGCGGAAGGGGAGGAGGAGGAAGTGGAGGAGGAGGCTGGTCAGGAGGTGGCGTTACCACCATCGATTCCCGACCCTATCCCGGAGGAACCTTGGTCCGTAACAGCGACTGCGTCGGATGTAATATTCGTGGTTAATGCCACCGAAATTAATTACAATAAATCATTTAAAAAATATGAAAATTATTTTATTATTATTTTATTTTTTCTTGTATTTTTGGAATTGATTCAAATTCGATTTCTCAATACAAATAGTTATTTATATTTTTTTAAATTTTCTGTCTGGGGCCTGTAACTACCCATCATCCTCCGACAAATGTGAAATCACTAGACCACGGGTTATTTTGGCAAGATCGACGTAAATATCAAGAAAATATTTTTTCAGCATCAAGTAAGAGTAATACTCTATACCCGACTTAACATCAAATAACAATGTCTATCGGGAAATTTGGGTGCAACGTATTTTTGTTTATTGATAATTCAATTTACCTTTTTGGCGAGATCGGCCATTCAACTTACATTGGGTAACCCCGAAGCGATAACGCCCTCCTCAAGATTAATAGCAATTAATAATTAAAATAATAAATATGTAATAGTAATAAAATAAAAAAATCTTTCTCGAAATGTTGGTGTTAGTGAGAAATGGTGTGTTGTATTTGAATATTTGGCATTGTTTATAGATTATATGTTACATTGTCTGCACTTTGAGTTTACTTTTGTTTTTAAACCCTTGCAGAGGGTATTATAATTTTGGTCAGAAGTTTGTAACGCAGTGAAGGAGACGTTTCCGACCCCATAAAGTATATATATTCTTGATCAGGATCAATAGGGGAGTCGATATAGCCCTGTCCGTCTGCCCGTCCGTCCGTCCGTCCGTCCGTCCGTATGTCCGTCCGACCCTCTGTCCGTCTGTTTCAATAAAAGCTAGCGATCTGAAACTTTCACAGTCGTCCTAAAACATGTGTACGCAGATCAAGTTTGAAAACCGCCCCGATCGGATGTCTATATCCTATAGCTCCCATAGGAACAATATGGTGAAATCGGACGTCTATATCTTATAGCTTCCGTAGGAACAATTGTTAAAGGCTGCGAGAGTATCCCTTTTTTTCTATTTTTATATGACATTTTTGCAGTATAAAAGCATTTGACATCAAACGATGCAAATCTAGTTTATTTATGTATACCTTATTCCTTTCGCTACTTTTTCAGTTTTAGCAATTTCTTAAAGTCTGCAAGGGTATTAAAACTTCGGCTTGCCGAAGTTAGCTTCCGTCCTCGTTTCTAATTGCCACGCACATTGCAGCCTCTGCACTGGGTGAGGATGATCACATTTCCTGGATCGGGGGACAGCGGAACAGCTGAGGAATGAAATAATAAATTACTTAAACAAACAAGTTCAGAAATAGTTAATAGTTTTTACTAACCATTGGCCAGAGCCAGCAGACCCAGCACAAAGACGGTGACGACTGAGAAGAATTTCATAGTGATTCTGTATTGGTTTTTCCGGTTTGTGATGCTAAATGCACTTGACAATCTATTACCATCAACTGATTCTCTCGGCTCACGGAACCTGATCTTATATAGCCGAGAGTTTATCTGACTATAAAAACCCAAGTGCAATAAGTAGTTGTAAACCTCAGATAACCCCGGACTAATTAGTTTTGAAAATACCATTTTTCTCATAACTAAGAACAATATTTTTAAAAACAACTTTTTATGTCTAAAGAAATTATAACAGAAAAATGATAGTGTGGGTTAAAAAACAATAAGTGGAAAAAGATATGAGTATTGGTGATTGGAATCAGTGCCTGTATTTTTTAACGCCGAACTTATTATTTATTTAAAATAAAAGACGAAAAAATCAAAAAATAAATTAAGATACTTTTAATTCTATTAACAATAATTCTCGGGTCTTGTTTTGTGGAAATGTTTTCGTCAGTTCCTAGAATGTAGATTATAAATAAGTAATCTATATGTTAAAACCGCATCAGTTTCATTCCATTTTCTAATCCGGTAACAGTCAATAGTTTAGTTTTGTCTCAAAATAAAGTAAAACATCATGCCCTTACCTATCCTTAATTGTAGCCTTAAGCAGTGCCAATAACATGTATAAACACTCATGGACAAAATAATAGGTGTGTTTTTTTTTCCTTGTTCAACTTTCTGTTTTTTAAATATCACAGTCTCCAATAGAAATTTGTGTGTACAAAATCTGTCCATTATTCCGTCAAAGACAATAGAAGTATTTTTTAAGACAATAGAAGTATTGAAAAAAAATTTGATTTGTTATTAGAGAAGATATGAATTAGAAATAGAAAGTTAAAAAAGAAAAAAAAGAAAAAAACACACCTATTATTTTGTCCATGAGTGTATATTATATGTAGATTACAAATCGGAGCTAATCGAACCTTATCAATATTAATAGGAATTAATAATTAAAAAACTTAATAATAATAATAAAATAAAAAAAATCTTTCTCGAAATGTTTGTTTTAGTGAAAAATGGTGTGTTGTATTTGAATATTTGCATTGTTTATAGATTCATATTGATTCTGGATCGGTTTGGGATGCTAAATGCACTTGACAATCTACCATCAACTAATTCCCTCGGCTCACGGAACCTGATATTATATAGCCGAGAGTCTATCTGACTATAAAAACCCAAGTGCAATAAGTAGTTGTAAGCCTCAGACAAACCCGGACTAATTAGTTTTGAAAAATACCAAATTTTTCTCACAACTAAGAAAAATATTTTTATAAACAACTTTTTATGTCTTAAGAAATTATAACAGAAAAATATTAATGTGGGTTAAAATACGATAAGTGGAAAAGGATATGAGTATTGGTGATTGGAATCACAGCCTGTATTTTTTAACGCCGAACTTATTATTTATTGAAAATAAAAGACGAAAAAATCCAAAAATAAATTAAGATACTTTTAATTCTATTAACAATAATGGTCGGGTCTTTCACCTTTAACACCTTACAAAGCGGGAAATGTTGTCGTCAGTTCCTAGAATGTAAATTATAAATCTATATGTTAAAACAGCATCAGTTTCATTCCATTTTCTATTCCGGTAACAGTCAATAGTTCAGCTTTGTCTCAAAATAAAGTAAAACATCATGCCCTTACCTATACCTAATTGTAGCCTTGAGCGTTTTTATAATTATGTGTATATATTATATGTAGATTACAGATCGGAGCTAATCGGGACGGGTATAAAAGAAGGCGCCTGTGATCGAGCAGCTTAGAGAGCCGCATAATGAAGTGCCTGACGCTATTGGCGCTATTGTTCTTGGCCACTTTGGCCTTCGCTCAAGGTCAGTTTAAAGCTTTAATGGCATTTCCCATTATATTAATCTCTTTTCCACTCACAGCCGGAAAGGTCACCATCAATGGAAAGTGTGTGGACTGTTCGAATGACCGTACCACCACCACCACTACCACCCACAAACCTTCAAGAGGCAGGGGAAATGGTGGCAAGACCACTGCAAGACCCAGGCCCAAAGCAACTCCGACCCACAGACGACCTTCGTCGGATGAGGACGACAATGAACTGGACGGCTGGTCACTCCATCAGTCCGCTGGAGGATCTCAGCATATAGGCAGGCGATCCAAACGCCAACGGGGCGGTGATTATGACATCGTTATAGATGGATCTGGCAGAAGAGGAGGTGTTTTTTTAAAATATTAATAAGGGGTTTAATTACCCATTATTCCTCGACAAATGTGAAATCTATAAAGCTAACTATACCCCGGATAAAAAACTTTGTTGACAGCTAAACAGAGACTTGTTTGTTTTTGCAAGATCAAACAAATATTTTTGCAACATAAAGCAAGAGTATGATGAGCCCGACTTAATACCAAATAACAATGTTTGTCGGGAAATTTGAGTGCAACGTATTTTTGTTTATTGATAATTCAATTTACCATTTTGGCGAGATCGGCCATTCAACTTACATTGGGTAACCCCGAAGCGATAACGCCCTCCTCAAGATTAATAGCAATTAATAATTAAAATAATAAATATGTAATAGTAATAAAATAAAAAAATCTTTCTCGAAATGTTTGTGTTAGTGAGAAATGGTGTGTTGTATTTGAATATTTGGCATTGTTTATAGATTCTATGTTACATTGTCTGCACTTTGAGTTAACTTGTGTTTTTTCTAATCACCACGCACATTGCAGTATTTGCAGTCGCCGTTGATGATCACATTTCCTGGATCGGGGGACAGCGGAACAGCTGAGGAATAAAATAATAAATTACTTAAACAAGTTAAGAAATAGTTTACATTTTTACTAACCATTGGCCAGAGCCAGCAAACCGAGCACAAAGACGGTGACGACTGAGAAGAATTTCATAGTGATTCTGGATTCCGGTTTGGGATGCTAAATGCACTTGACAATCTATTACCATCAACTGATTCTTTCGGCTCACGGAACCTGATCTTATATAGCCGAGAGTCTATCTGACTGTAAAAACCCGAGTGCAATAGGTAGTTGTAAGCCTCTGATAACCCCTGAAAAAAATGTTATCAGTAGAACCAGGATTTTATGTAAAAACACATTGTTGACTGGCAAGAAAATATTTGTGCAACGTTATTTGAGAGTATTATCAGCCAAAAAATTGCTGGTTATTTTTTGTTGTTTATTGATAAGGATATATACCTATTTTGAAAAATCGGCCACTGAAATAAAATTTGGTAACCCCATAAGAAAATCTCTTTACATTTTTGTGTTATTTAAAGAGGGAGTAATGCCCTCTTTTTTATTGTAATTGTATGTTTGGCATTGTTTTAAATTCTATGTGACATTTTAAATGGGTAGCATAAATATTGTGTGTTGAGCTTTAGTTTAGTTGAGTCCTTGTATAGATAGTCCTTGAAGAAATTTCCTACTTGCCACCATGGACATTGCAGTATTTGCAGTCGCCGTTGATGATCACATTTCCGGGATCGGGTGACAGAGGAACAGCTGTAAAAATAATTAATTAATTAATTAAGTGATCTACTAGGGCACGTGTTTAAGTTTTACTCACCGTTGGCCAGAGCCAGCAGACCAAGTACGAAGACGGTGACGACTGAGAAGAATTTCATATTGATTGTGGATTGGTGTTTTCCGGTTTTATATGCTTAATGCTCTGCACAATTGATTGGCTTCAACTGATGCTCTTGACTGGCGGGACCAGATCTTTTATAGCTGAGAGTCGGATCGTGGATGGAATCAAGTTAAGTGACCAGTCGAAGGCCTCTGATAACCCTAGACAATTCCCGTGTGTTTGGGAAAACCCAAAAAATGTAATCACTAGTCAATGGGTTTTATGTACAAATGGGTGAACGAAATCCCATTTCAGTTTTAATCAACATATTCCCTTATCAATGAATATATAGGTGTATAAATAGTTAGTCAATACTTTACGTGTCCTGTAAAAGAATGTTTACAATTTAAAAGTAAAAGTATCTATGAATATATAGGGAGTATAAAAAGTTAGTCAATTCTTTATATGTCCTATTCTCACGGCTCACGATTTAAAAGTAAAAGTATCTATGAATATCTAGGTGTATAAAAATTAGTCAATACTTTATTTGTCCTGTATAAAAATGTCTACAATTAAAAAGTAAACCTACCAACCTATATACATCGTCAACTATATCAATAATCATCATCCCTTAATTATAAGAATTCAAATTTATAAGCAAATTAAATTAAATTAAATTTTTTTTATCATATTTTACAAAATATTAGTATATATATATAACAAGACTAAGACGAATTAAAAGCAATATAAATATAGAAAACAACCCATATCGCCAGCTCGCAGGATCAGAGGTCGAATGCAACAAGCCTGATGGCGAATAAAATAAAAACAAATAAATTAATCAACAATTTATTCGACATGATAACGTCGGTCATTGAATGGGCAACTGATGACGTCGGTCCAAAAAGAATATTATTGATATTAACTCTATATTTTAAAATATATTTTAAAAATCATATATAGTGCACAATAAAAAAAACATATCAAAGCTAGAATTTAAAACGCAAAACAAAGAACAATTAATTCGACTTGATGACGTCGGGCTAAGAGGAATATTAATTTCATTAACTCTATATTTTAAAATTCAAAAAATAATAGGAATGCAAGAATCATACATACAGCTCAATAGATAAAAAAATAAACATACAAAAGTTCGAATTTAAAACGCAAAATATAAGAACGATTTAGAAGAAATCAAAACAAGCTTCTGGTTTTTGATAAACCCTCTGTATTACGTACTATATACACTTGATCTTAATTTCTAGCTAACTGAAATCAGAAAAAAAGCTTGTGTGGAAAACCCCTTGCCCAGAATAATCTGTGAATTGAACTGGTTTCTGGGGCGAATCCCCTTCTTCCCACCTTCGATTGTGCGTTCGCTGCAATAATCTGGTTTCTATAACAAAGCAAACGGGAATGCTTAAAAGCTTTCGGATTTCATGTGTCTCCAACAGATTCGTCTTGTACCCAGTTCGAGAATGAAGTGTCTGATTCTGGTCTTTGCAGTTGCCACCGTCCTGGTTTCCCAGGCGACAGGTAAGGATGAAATGAACCCAACCCTCTAGAGCGACACGATTTCCTTATTATTCCATTACTCCACAGCCGGAAATGTGATTATCGGCGGAACCTGCCGGGATTGCAGTCCGCCGGTGGCCGAAACCGTGGTGGTCGGTGGCCAATCCTACAAAGCGGGCAAACCGGGACAGGGAACCGTCTACATCAATTCCCCCGACGCCTATCCAGGAGCTGTGGATGGCCTAGTCCGCCGACCAGGAGCTGGCCCATCTCTGCCAGGAGGAGGAGGTGGGGGCAGCCAGTATCCCGAGGGCTTCAGTGGTCGCGTGTCAGGTGGCACTTACCTCCACAACAAGGACTGTGTCGGTTGCAGCATCAGCGGGGGCGGGGACTGAAAATGAATAAAGTTGTTTAATTTAGAAACAATACTTTGCATTTATTTGTTTTTTGTTACTTACGACTCCTTAAAAAAGCAAATTCTTGAAGAAGAATTTGAAGTGCTCTTAAATTATTGATTTCCACGATTTGCCATTTTATTTCTAATGGCAAATTATACATTTATCAACCATAAATTTAAAAACTATGTATATTCTCTTAAACGAACTTTACACGATGTTGAGAAATTTGCATTTATTTTATTTAAGGACACAATTATCCACAATTATATATAATACAACTTTAAAATAGGGTAAAACATAATAAAAAAATTTTATTTACGATAAAATTTGTTACAAATTTGGTATTAGAGTGCAAACGAATTCAAACAATTATGGTGTTTGAAGTCAATCGGTTAAAGGTGAATATTTAAATTCCTTCATTAAATAATAAACTATTTATATATTAATTATTTAAATTGATGCTCCCTAAAACCAAACTTAACTTAAATATAAACTTTTTAAAACATTTCGTTAGTATTTCGTTAATAAAATAAAGTTACATTAGTATATCAATTGCTCAGGCTAAATAAAAGATTTTCAATATCATATCGAAGTGCAAAAACACGTTTAAATCTTGAACCAACATTTAAAAGGGATATTCATTAATTAATAATTGTACATTTTGTAAAAAATCTTATTCAGTAGAACTGCAATATTTTTTTTAAAAGAGTTCAAAAGTAAAGTACAAAGTATGGTTAAAAAAAACTACGAGTTTCAGTTTAAAAAAAATAAACTGCATTTGTTTTCAAAAGATTTAACTTGTTATTTAATCAAAGCCGTGAATACCCTCAGTATTTAACCTTACGTCATTATTGGTTTTTACGCCGCATTCATTAAAAGTATAACTAAATATATGAATTATATTGCGATGCTGGCGATCTTAAGCTTTAAAGCTGCAATGCATCAGAGCTGAACTCTCAGTTGTGTAGGGTAGGTTATCAAAAGTGGGGGTTCTTTGGAAAACCCAAGGTTTGTAAAATATTCTAGGGTATTTTCTTTTTTTCTTATATTACTCACGGCCAAGCTAAAGTGATGAGGCTATATAAAACGTGTTCAAATGAATCGATCTCAGTCAGTGTTTCATCTCAACTGTCGCAGCAATGAAGTGGATTTCGTTATTGTTCTCGCTAATGGCGCTTCTTGCCCTGGGAAATGTTGGATATGCTCGTAAGTTCAACACATTATTAATCTGTTTCTGGATCTTTTTAATAACAGATCATTTTATTTCAGGAACCATTCCCAAAATTACAATTAGGAATGGCGACATTATTGTGCATGGAAACTGCCATGGCTGCACTGCTCGAGCCACAAAAAACACGGCTCATTTATCAATCAAATTTACTCGTAGATGGTAGATTTGCGAAGTGTAATAGTGAATAAATTACCTCAATCTTGCCATATATATTTAAACTAATTTATTAATAAAATAACAAAAAAAACTTTAAATTAAAAGTGAACCGTTTAATTTAACATGAACACAAAAATTAATAATACTAAATTTGTTATAAAAGACATTGCAAAATATTCTTTACCAACTTTGTTTAAATATTTCATTACCCAATTGTGCCTTTTTAAAAAAAGTCATGTTTCTTTCAATTAATTAATAATGAAATGTATACAATGGAGAGTTTAAACAGTCATTTAAATTTAAAACAATGGAGCCCCAGCAATTCCTTTCCGAACACTGACTGCCTACCTGTGTGTTACTTCAGTGTACTAAATTAATAATAGCCAAATTGCAATGTTCTCGTAAATTTGTCGTAAAACTCAAGCCTGTGTCGTAAATCATTCTTGGGCCTGGGCGAGTTTCCGTTCTGGCTTCTGTTTTATGCCTCATTGGTGGAAATATTTCAGCACAAAAAAAGAAAGCATAAAAGTTGCCATCATATTTGACTTTACCCGGACCATGCCGCCGTACACGTGTTTTCCTCGTTTTCATTGCGGCAACTGGCATTTCCGCGTCCTGTGAACCGTGTCCTTTGTGAGATGTTTTATTGCCAAAGAAAACCGAGCGAGGGCAAACCGCTGTGCGCCTGTAAATGACTCCCCAGGCACCTTTATATTGACTCGTAAAATTGCGACATTTAGTTCTGTGTGTGTGTGTTTGTGTGTGTGTTTGTATAGGGGGTGGCCAAACCAATCCCTGCCTGTCCTTTTTTCGACCTCCTTTTCGTGGTCGAAGTCACGGTTTTCGGCGGCGTTTTTCAGTGCTTTAAATTTGATTTTTATTTACCCTAACCGTTGTTACCGGCAAACGTTTTTTTTTTATGATACAAAAAACCTCTTGGATTTCATTCAACGGAAATTGAGTTTTTGCTAGGGAGCAAATTGTGAAAAACAATGTCAAGTAAAGCATGAAAAGAATCCAAACACTTGGTAAATTTGTTACCTCTCCCTTTTTTATGTCTGTCGGAAAAAAAAAGTTTTGTCCAAGAACTTTGATTAATTTCGTTTGTGAGGTATCAAGAGATTAATTGAATTTTCATTCAAGTGCTTAACCGAAAAGGTCTCCATTTTTCATAATTAAATTCATTTCGTTTCGTTTGCCGTCGGCACATTGCGCATACGCTCAGTTGCACATACAATTTTCCGTCTGCATTTTGTATTTTTCCATTTTAATCGTGATTATTTGCCCACACCCAGTGAAAGTGGCTTGCAGTACATTTTCATTTTCTCGTTTTCCATCTTAAATTCTTCAACACGTAAAATTAATTATAGTGCTCAGAAAATGTGTAAAATGACCGTAGAACGGATAAGTAATACAATAAAACTTAAGGCATTAAATATATTGAAAAATTGTGAAATTATTATTATTAATTTGCAGAAGATATATTTTATAAAGACTTAAAAATGCTAAGTAATTGTTTAAAGCTTGTAAAAATGAATGAATTAAAAAAATTATATTTAAAATAGGAAACACAAATAGGAAACACACAACACTGACTTTTCTGAGCAGTGAAATATTATGAAACAATATTTTTGCAGCAATTATATGATTTTCACTGTGGTCCTTTTCCGAGTGCCATGCACTCATATATCCTTTCAACTGTCATTGCAACATAATTACGCACTCCAAACTGCCTCCCCTTGGGAAAATTGGCAGAGCACCGAATATGCAATCAAATATTGGCAAACACAGAATTTCCCTGCTACTTTTCCTGTCGCATTCGGGGCCCAGGACATGTGGCCTTTATGGCAACCGATGGGGCCAGAAAACAATTGCCCTGCCACGCCCCCCGGGCAGCCAACCACAATCTCCACAACCATCGAGAACACCACCACCACCACCACAACCACCACCCCCACACGCCCCTTCAACTGGTCATTCAATTTTGCAAGTCCTTCGCCCTCGGGCGCCTGCATTATGCAGCTTACCTCGGACTGATTTCATTTTCGTAATTACCTCACCGACTCGGACAACGCCCCAGAATCCCATACTCCGTTTACAGTGCGCAAAAAATGTTTATAATCCGACTTTTGTAGTTTAAATTCAATGTCTTAAAAGTTTTTCCAAATTGTATTGCTAATATCAGTAAAAATAGAAAACATATTTTAATATTAATTTTATGCAATATATATAATATTGAACTGATAAAAAAATTTTAATAGCTTTAAGTTATTTTCAAGAAAACTTTGAAATTATATTGTTATTTTTAGGAACAACTACATAATACAGTTGTAATTTAAAGTTTAAGGGGGTCTTCTAGTCTAGAGGCTCGAATTTCGACCTTTTTTTAACAATTAATAAAAAAAAAAGCAATATATATTTTTACTATCCGTTTTTTTATCACTTGTTTATTAAACTTAAAGGAGTACAAAAAATAAATTTCAAAAAAAAAAAATTAGTTTTCATTGAGTTATTCCTTCTTGAAGAAGAGGGGAAAAAAAAGAGGACGTGTCCGCGTCGCCATGATATCTATGCTTGTAGTTATCTGAAAACTAAAACAATGATAGATTCTTAATGAGTACGAATGTCGCTATGGCATGAACCACCAAAAAAAAATATCTTTTTTTTTCATGAAATGGCGGCTACTCAAAGAAAAAAAGTCGATTTTTTTCACTAATTTTTCCACTTTGTCGAATTTTTAAAAATATTATAAATTTAAAATTTTTTTTTTTGTTGGTTCATGCGATAGCGATAAATAAAGAATATTCATGCCAAATTTCAAGTAAATCGACTGATTAGAACTTGAGTTAGAGTGGCGACCGCATCAAAAAAAGTAGTTTCGAGAAAAACGCGTTTAAAGTTCCAGTCGTTCCCTCAACCGGTCTAGTTGCCACGTCACTAAAACGGCTATAGCTATGAAAATAATTTGAGTTTTGAAAAATCCTTTTAGGAAGATATTTTTGAATATCCAAACTATCGAATTATGAAAAAAAAAATTTTTCGATTTTCTCAAATTTCTAGACTAGAAGACCCCCTTAAGTGCGTCTTTGCTAATCAATAATTGCATGATTAATACTTTGTGTATAGGTAAACCTTTGAGACATAATATTATATTTAAATAAAGGCATAAATTGTACCTTTTTTTTGTTCTTTGCTAGAATGTTTTTTTATATTTAATCATTTAATAATTTACTGATACCCAGGTAGTAAAGTTAACTAGACTAAAAATACAGCAGTATAATTTTATATTTAACTTTTCTCTTCCAACCTTTTGAAACGCATTAAAACAAAACCATTTCTTAGCCTTTAAAAAATAACAAGCAAAAACAAAATAGCCTAAAAAAGTTATTTAAAATGGTCTAACATAACTTTATATATGAGCACAGTCATTTTTTAAGTAATGTTTTCTTTATTGCAAGAAATATTTTGCTACATTTTGAGACAAAATTAATTATTTGCCTGTTCTGAAAAGAATGTCTTAAAATTACATTTGCATAACAACTTAAAACAACCATTATTAGTACCTCAAATAAAAAGTAATTATTTCGCTCAGTGCCCTGCTCCTCCATTGGTTATCGACAGGTGGCGCATTCTGGCTTGGGCTCGGTCGAGCTGGCTTAACGAGTTGATTAAATGCTGTAATTGATGGAATTGCGAATGGGGATGCAAAGGTGTAAATGATCGGCTTGGAATGCCGCCCGGATAAACATGTCATTGTCGTTAGACGATGCCGGTCGATTGGGTGAGCTCCAAAGTGATTTGGGATGGCGCGTCCACCAAACCCTTCTCATCAAACCCTTTTTCCCCTCCCCTCTCCCCCATCGCAAATCATCAGTGGGCATCAATCAGAGGAGCGCCGGGAATGCGAGCGTATTCATTTCATAAATATTTGCGGCAAGGGTCGAGGCACGGACTTTATAAAAGGGTCGCAAAAAAGGCCAGCGAGATGGGTTGAAATAAAAAATGATTTAAAAATTGAAAGGATTATGGGTGAGCGGCAACGGAGCGCGTTAATGTTGATGGCCCGATGGGTTCCCTTGGGTCGGATTTTGGGGACCTGGGGACGGGTCTGCTGGTATGTTGCTGGTGTCGCTGTCAGTCAAACAAAACAGGGCTGAAATCAACGAGGATGCCAACGGCCATCAGCCAATGCTGTTGTTGGCCAACAATATAATTTGAACAGGAATGAAAAATAAACGAGCCGCACGAGAAGTGATTTCTTTTTGGCCAAGAGAGGGGGAGGGGCTATAAAAAAAGCCACATAAAGCGTGCAATTTTTGTATAAATCAAACCAAATATGTGAACAAAATGTTTTTTTATTTCGATTCCTGAAACCGGAATAGACACACAAAAGGTCTGGACGCACAGTGGAATTAACAAGTTGCTTTCGTTGAAGAAATAAAAAGCTACAAAAAAAAACGTATAACAAAAGTGCAAAATCGAAAAAAAATTTTGTGAGTTTTAATTTTTTAATCAATTTATAATATTAATACATCTATAATAAAGATCTTAAAAGTTCTTTTTGTAATGGGAAATGCTGTTTTAGATTTTGTTTTATACCCACAGTGTAGTTCTTTTTTCATTACGAGTTGCCCACTTCAATCCTTCCTCTTTCTCAACCACTGTGAATAATCGCCTTTTATTTGAGCACTAAAAAAATACAGACACTGAAAAAATATTTTTAATGTTTTTTGAGCTCTGATAAGAGAGTCATACATTTGGAAATAAACAAAAAATTGTAGGTTATTGGAAGTTTTCACAATATATTTTTTAAAACTTATTTATTGCTCCGACCTAAATAATAATTATAATTTTACCATACCACCAAACATATTTTTAAGAATTTCACATAGTTTCGATCGACGACAACTTATTTTTTAGTGGACCAATTTTTTGTTCCTCACTAAATCTGCATATCTTGGACATACTTATGATTCATTTTACCGGGATTACATCTCAAAAACATGTGTAATTTGAAGTACATACTTCAACGATTATAGTTACTGAACTTTTCAACGTGTATCCACACGGGTGGACTTTCCACTGACATTGTCTGCCTCCTTAT